ATTGAGTGACAGCAGATAGGCGTATTTGGGTCGGATATCTCATTTTGTATCATAATGCTGGTGCAGTCGATCGGCTTTAGTCCGTCCATTACGTCCCTTGTATTAAGGTGGCGAATATGTTAAGGCTTTCGGCATCGTAAAATGCAGTTATGAATTAACATTAGGAGCAGCTTTTCTGTTATGATGCTCTTCTTTCAAATATTCTGACAGTGTAGCCCCTTTTCTCTGCAAATTGTAAGATCTTTATTTTCACGATTCTGCAGCAAGGAACAATTCAAGTTACTGGTTATGTTATTACCTGCATCGATGCATTGATATTAAAGAAGCGATCAAAATAGTTCCTCCGTTTTTGCAATTTATTCATATTATGATTGCGTTCAATGTATTCTGCATAATAATTCTTTATTTTCTATTCAAGGGTTTTGCAAGGGTTAGCACTTTCTAGAAAGAAAGAGCACCTCATTTTTGCTCTTTGGTTTGACATGATCTCTGTTCATTGCTTGGAGAATTTTTTGGTAAACTGTAACTAGAGAAAATTTGATGCAAGGGAAGCAACTTTTGGGAAAGGAATAAGAACTCCTAAGTAGTCACAGCAGATGTTTTCAGATTCATTGCCAAAATTAAAGATTTTGGTCCGCTCAGTGGGCTCTACATTAACCCTTTGTCATCATATTTATTGTTAGCTCGGAATCAAAAAATGAAACAAGGAGAATAGCACTCGCAGAAGTGGAAAACTTCCCCTTCTACCCCTCCCCCTCCTCCTACTTGGTACAAAACTAAGAAGCTTTGGGTCTTACATTAAAGGTTTCAAGACTCATTCAGGTGTGACATGTGCCATTGTCCTCTGCAACTCGTACAAGTGAAGTACGAAGCTGAATTGTGACTTTTATCTTGGCTTCTGAGTCAACGATGTTCGGATGGTTGGCTGTCGCCCTTGCGCTTCTATTCATGTCATTATCTCTTTTGTACTCTTTAGTGACAAAAGTTTACATATAAATCGCCTGTGCATGTCCTTATATAGTCACGATGCAGACCTCTGTATTCTACTATAGCCTTCTTTCGCCATATTTGGAAAATTGCCTCATTGACTTCTTCACATTTTTCCAAAAAAAAAAACTCGGCTTCATGCGACAGATGATATATCACTAATTTTTAAAACTTTTTTGGAGAGCATGTAGGTTGATGTAAACTACCATACCCCCGGAGCGAGTGAGAATTTGTATAAAAACATAATTTAGAACTTTTTATTTCCAGAAAATTCTCTTACAACACCGACTAATCGTGGCTTTTGCTATATCGCTCCAAAGAACTTCCTATAGGCGATGCTTGCTATATTTTCGCTAATTCTTATTTCATCAAATAAAGGAGAATGGATCGCATACAAGAGTTATACTACAGATGAAACAGAAGTTTTGAGAAAGTAGTGGTGTAATAGATGTAGTCTGCTCGAATAGCAGTTCATAAACAATGTAAAATTCTAGAACTTTCGCAAAACGTCATTTCGCTCTGACAAGAGAGAACTGAAGGTAAGCTACCAAAAGAGGTGTACTTTAGTTTTTTTCCACTAATGTCGTTTGTTGTGACTAGACTTTACGCGAAGTACAAGTAGTGTATGACGCAAATGCTAATCCTTGGTGAACAGAAATACCAAAAATCAAAAATCAGTAAACTTCTGTAAAAGTGAACACTTTTTTCAAATATATAAGTGTGTTTTCCTAGCAGAATCAGGTCATCATTCGATAGTGCGAAGCGATCTCTACAAAATGATCATAAAAGACCCACCTAGTTTTGATCCAGGTAAAGTTTGGAGCCGAAATCGAAAAAAAGCTTAGTACCCGATATGCCTTACTGGCTTTTTCCGCACATAGAAAGCGAGAAGAAAAATAGAAAGCGAGAAGAAAAGAGTCCAAAAGTGTCAAAATCGCCTCAGCCCCCTCACACATGCCATTGTATGCAAGCCTAAGTAAGCAAATTGGAATTTTACCTCTGCTTGTATTAGGTTGGCTAATAAATAAGTTCGGTCGCTTTTTCAGCTCTTACAGATGCTGTAGACAAATTTATGTCCAATGCTTGGATCTCTAGAAAGAAATGGCTAATGAAACATATATTCGGCTTAAAAACTTATCTTCCAAGGGAAGAAATCCGTAAAGAAGTAAGAAAGCGCAATTTTCTCATAATGCGCAAATATGAGGAAATTTGGTTTTCTTGGTGAAACATTTTCAAAGTGGCAGTTCACATTTTTTTTAGTTAACCACTAAATAGGGAAAACACCCCTCTATCCAAATACCAAACTGTTGTTCTTTACATCAATTAAAGCATGAAAACGAGACTCATTAAGTCAAAGAATTGAGCTTTTGGAGAATTCGCCATGTTGAGGCATAACTGTCTTTAGTGATGATAGAAAATCCTAAATATTTGATATGTGATAGAGGAAGCTTTGCTAGTCTTCCACAAAGAATCATAGATAGAAAACAACAAGAAAATTTTTTGTGATGATTTGTATGCCAAAACGAACTTATTTTTTAGCCAACCCAATACTTTGGTAATCGAGGAATCCATGTTTAACATCAAAAATAACCCGAAAAAAAGTGACATTTTTGCAATTTCGAGTCACCTTTGTTTTTTCAGTTTTAGCCCGGAAGAAATCCATCAAATACATTTTTGGGTACTACTATGCGTGTACCGTACAATGGCCAAGTTGGAGTTTCGTAGAAACTTTCTAGAAGGGAACTTTTTAGAGTACTTGCCCAAAATGAGACATAGATCATTGCCTGACGAGATATTTTTTTATGAAAAACCGAAGATTATCTTTTCTGAGGTGAGCATTTGCTTGTGCTTTAGCGAAAAGAAAGCGTCCAGAGTTGATTGATGGTAAATTCGTGAGATGTTCGCGAAATAGTACGTGTGATCGGAAGTGACGACGTTAAAGACCGTGAATCACCTCGAACAGAAGCATGATCTGCACGAGATCGAGGGTTCGTAGACGATTCCTTGCACGAAAGTGCTTTTTCCATATATTTCCACGCCAAACAACTACGTAAAAGCCTATTTCCGGAATTGATTTGCATGTGCGCATCAAAAGTTGTTTATTATTGTTGGGCGAGTCAGTCCCGCAGTGATCTCGTACTGCTCGACTCATGTGCAAATTTCAACAGTATAATCACTGTAAATGAAAACAGCTCATTGCTATTCATACAGTGACACTCAATGACGAATTTTACCGCGGCTACATAAGCGCACCGTGCAAAGAGAAAAACCCTTCTCTTCCAGAGAGAAACGGCTTCTCTCACATTTTCCCAACGATATTGCAAGAGCCGGTTTGATTTTGCTATCAAAGCCGGTTTCGACTAAGTTCAGTTGAAGATGTATAAATGTCAAATGTCAGTGCTAAGAAATACTGCAAGGTAAGTTGAGCCCCTCTACTTTCTAATCCAGTAATTTTTGTCTCCAAAATCGAATAAAAGAATTCTTTGCAATTGTATACTCAGGCGCAAAAGATCTCATCTCAGGTGACTTGTTAGGCTTACATTAAAAGAAGTGTGTAACTAGGTTAACCAACGGATAATACTTCCTGAAGAAGCCAATTCATACTTTATTTATAATCGAAGCATTTTACAGCCTAAGAGCAGAGTGTAGTGGCTGGAATAGCGTTTATCTAATTGTTCACTCTTTAGTGAAACTTACTGTATTGCAATTCTGTTATCTTAATAATATTGTTGCCATGACCTCTTGATATAGAAAAGATCCCTGTTAGGACGCATGAGAATCGTTTTTATGAGAAAAACAAATTTTGCAAAACTGCTATCTTCTTCAGTTCCTATGAAACACAGCAAATTATTTCTTGCTTGAGCTTCTCGATGGAAAGCAGTAAAGCTAAAATAGTAGTAGCAAAAATCTTTTACTTGTATTCAAAAGATTTTTTTATTAAATTACTGCTTCCAATGACTTGAATGGAGGCATTATATACTAAAAACTTCTTGCAAAGCGCCATTTATCTGCCATGCATGCTTCTAAAAGTCAGCACTTAAAATGCACTATAACAACGTTTTTTTGAGAGAATTGCAGCTTTTTCCATCTGTTAAAACTCTTTATATCGTTCGAACCCCTCCCCACATTCCCTTTAAAGTAAAAGTTACAAAATTATTATCGCAGTCTTTAAGATGTAACGGCAAAATGCATGAATGGACCATGAAACCTAAAAAATTATAATTCTCAAGTGGATCCTGTTAAAGCTCGAGCCTCAGCTGAAATATTTCGCATTGGTAGATCAGTAGATTAGAAGATCTTTTCTTGTTTTCCTACATTTGCATACGGAGGATGCAGTACCGGACCTCCATTTGCCTCTGCCCCTTTTATTTCCATCTTCGTCTTCAATGGCTTTCTTTTATGCGAAATACCCTCGACAGCTTCAAGCAAAGACCTGCGCAAGCCCCTAGTCAAAATGAGATCAGATCATGAAGTCATGCCATTGTGCTATTCTACGAATGCCCAAGTCTGCCTGAAGAACCTAGAAAAGTAGTTTCATTGTCCTTCTCGCACATCAAAGATTGTATCAAACAATGATGTACTCAATAACGGGTTTATAAGAATGTTTCGTGATATCAAAGCGCATTACAAAAATTTCGGGCAATGTGACAGCGATACCGTAGTCTAGAAACGACATAGGCGTGACAGGAGAGAGAGAGATCGTATCAAACTGTAAGGGTTTATTTAGGCTGATCAGCTTGGTTTTTCTATTTTTTTCGCAAGGGTTGGTTTCTCTCTTGGAATTCCTCAACAGTTCCTAACTATTTCTATCAGCTCCCCTGATGGTTTGGCATGAAGTTCTGCTCTCTTATGTCATTCTGAAAATGTAAGATCTGTCTCAAAAATTCCTTTAAAAACTCATGACTACCTTCCCCTCATTTCATTTACATCTTTTCATCTTCCTTTTGAGCTCGAAATGCTCTCGTGCTACTCCATTCCCTTCTAATGACTAAACATAGACTAATTGTTTCAGAATGGAATCAGTGAAACATGTGCACAAGAAATACGCATCAACTTCAAAAGTAGGATCTGATTGGAAGAATATCTATGTAATTAGCACTTTTGCCTTCGTCGATGCCTTACAATTCGCATTCTTCGTTTGGACATTTTGGCCATACGTTCAACAGGTTCGTGATTTTCAAAAAAAAAATTATCATCTCTTAAGCTTTTTGGGGTTCCTCTGAAGTGAGAGCAGCTTTCAAACCCTCAGAATGAAATTGCGTGACCGTACCTATTCGAATAATTTTCATGAATCGAAGGCAGAAGATACCCTTGGTTTTCATTTAAACATATCCCCACAATTTTGAATTAAACAAAAATTTGGTAAATTAGGGCGCAATGAGGGAAGATATGGATTTTTACTTTCCCATCAGGGGTGAACCTTAGCTTCAGTTTGCTAAATGCACTTCAAATTGCATTACTATTTCTATATCTTGTGAAAGAAATACATCATAAAAAATGTATTTACGAAAATATAAAAATTTAAAGATCATATTAGAATTTATTCCCCCCCCCCCACAAAACTCTACCGTATACTGGGAGCAAATGATCAGAAGATATTTAGATTTATTTACTCACAAAACAAGTCCTACCGTATACCCAAGCGCAAAAGTTCAAAGCCGGAGCAAATCAGAATACATTGTTTACTTGTTTGTTTCGTGCATATGCTACTATAATCCGATGTTTTTTCCCACGGTTTACTACTCAAAGATCGCCCTCAATCAAGTATTCATTATTCAGTGACGACATTTCGCTGAACGTTCACTGGGTCATGAACCAGTTTTGCTCGACATACGGTTTTGCATATGCAGTGCCAATTCTCGTAGAAAAACAGGAGCATTGTTTGGTTGTTGGATTGCTTAGATAGTACTTATAAAAGACTAATAAGAAGTGCAACAAAGCAGGGGCAGAAAATCTAGACAAAAGGGCTTCTCAATGGAACATTTTCAGTTGGATCCCAGCATATCCGCCTCGTTCATTGGGCTGATCATGGCCGTTTCTGGTGTTGGAGAAGCTGTTGCTGCCCCTATTTTAGGTAAGCAGCAATTTAATGATTGGCCGTTCAAAACTCAAATTCGTCTTAGGATTCTGGACGAACCGAACTGGAGTGGTGGTTCCACCTCTCGTAGCCTCCGTGGTAATGTCCATAGTAGGAAATATTATCTACATGTCGTTGAACGAGGTACCTGTACCACTGAGGAAATATGGCCTTCTTGTCTCGCGATTTCTCAATGGGGCTGGAAGCGGTAAGGAGTCTAATTTCTTTCCTGCCTATTTCAACACAAAATCTTATATCTCAGGCAATCGTGGAACATTTTTTGCCTACATCGCTGCGGCAAGTGAACCATCTGATCGTTTCCGATCTATGGCCCTTTCTGGAGGTGGCGCCCTTATAGGACTCAATGTGGGACCAGGTAAGGGCTATGACTCATTGCTTATTCCCCGAATTGGGTAAATTCTTGATCGCATGCGGAGATCATGTGATAATTGAGCTTTACATCAAAGATCGCCTATCATTCACGGGCATGTCGGTGGAACTAGCGCATAGTGACGGATTTTGGCAGACACATTGGGCGAATTGATAGATCTCTGACCAGTTTTGTCGCTTCTTATCAAATCAGAGAGAGAAAGCGCAAAATCTTCAACGCTTTTGAAAGATGAAGAAATCTTGAGAGTTCGACCTTTGTAGAGCAAGGTCATTATGTGCTAACACCCCATGATAAGCTTTGATCAAAGTCTTAAAAAATGAAATGTGAATATATCTCAGAGAACTGATATTTAATCTAGCTGCTAATATAGCATCAAATTAGTTATACGCTAGTTTGAAGGTCTTGAATTTTTCTTCGGCTGCTCAAATAATTTTGGAAAATTGCTATTCTTCAGCCCAAGTATTTTCATCTATAATTCAAGAGTCACTTTTGCATTTTTATTCCTTTTTGGTGGGGAAACAAATAACTGAACGTTCGATTATTCCAGATCTGAGCGTCATATTTTATACAATTTTCTCCATTCTAATTAGCAACATACTTTCTAATTTCTTTCTTTCAGCTGTTCAAATGCTTTTCACATGGATTGGCTCGGAAGGCATAGACATCAAATTTATGCGAATTTCCATGTATACAGCACCAGCCCTCCTAGCTTTAGCAATCAACCTAGCATGGTAATTTATATGAAAATTCAAATAAAAATACAATTTCAAATTTCTTTCAGCGTATTTTTGCTCGTATTTTTCTTAGACGATGGACTAGATCGATTCAATGGTCCAGATTCAGATTCAATCTCAACCTATAGTATTGCCGCAGCTGAGGATTCGGACTTAGGTAAGCAGAATAATTCTGTACTATGAGGCTTAGCGAAAAATAAAAAGTTTATTTTTAGAAAAATGTTCTGTGAAAACTATCAGAATGGACGTAGTAGCCGTTTGTGTATGTATGTGGACAAGAGCTGCTAGAATGTTGATCACAGCCAATGTTGAGAGGTAAGTGGATTTTCAACCATCTCGACCACAAAAAGTTTAGTTTTTTCTAGTTCAAAATCCATTTTATAGCATCGGATCACCTTTCTCACAAGTGATGTTCGGCTTGGACAATAAACAAGTGTTAAACTACAACGCAATGATGCAAGGGGCAGTTGGCGCTCTGACTGTTGTTATGTTGTTGATCTATGTTTTCACTCCATATTCGAAATGGTAAAAACTTTCTCGATTTTTTCTTCAAAATTTGAGGTGAACGACCACAAAGGGGGGGGGGGACTAAAGAATGGAACCTTTATCAGATTGGAGAAAACGGCTAAGTTTTGGAAAGTTACAAGACGATTAGGCTCAAAGTAAACACGCTTTTGAATTCTTCGCAAAAGACGGTCAATCGGGGAGAGCATTTATTTTGGAAAAATCCACTTCAGATATGGAAAAACTGCAGAAATCCTAAATAAATGCAGTGCCTGTATCATTTAAATCTGCAATTGCCAAAGTGAAATATAGTGCAATCACACAACTGTTGAAATGAGGGCTTTCGTAATACGTGCCATTCACTGTCAAATTCAGGATCTCCGAGCGTCTTAACTGCACCATAGCCATGATTGCTCTATTATTCTTCCACCTGCTCACCTACTCTTGGCCCTTCCTTGAGGGACAACTGCCCGGCTGCGCAAAATTCATGGACACCGAAAATGGTGAGCTTCTTATGACCTCTTTGTAAACCCACGTCATCACTGCAGATGCCGTATGCACGCGGCTACGTAGCCCGCGTCATGGCGAGGGCCATGCCTACTGCCTCAGTGAATGAGCAGTGAACATAACCCACTCTCACACAGAGTACATAAACATACCCTCACCCTCAATATAGAGGTAAGACAGTGGGCGTAACCTTGGATGTGACGAGCCGCGTTATTCACACCACGGGTAGTGTAGCCGTGAATTTCAGGCACAGGACAGGGATGGTCATGGTGCGAGAGTCTGCGACCTATCAACTTCTGGCTCTACTACATCAGCTATCCGCTGATCTTCGGGCTGGCATTGCCTTGTCTGAATAACTCGCTGCAATCGCTGTTCAGCCAAGTTCTTGGGAAGGGAAGACAAGGCACCATGCAAGGAGTGAATCAGGCTGTAGGCTGCATTTCTCGCATCTGTGGACCTCTGCTCATGTCGTAAGTGGCAGCTAATCTGAGAATCATGTGTAAAACCTAAAAATTTTGTTTAGGACCACCTTTTCCAACTTTGGACCACGAGCAACTTGGCTTATCGAGATAGTTCTTATCGCCGTATGTCTCTTCATCTGGTAGGTGCTCAAAATACTCTTGCAGTAGTGGCGGACCGAGAACTGGTGTAGGCGGGGTGCGGAGGAGGGAGGGACGGGGGGAGGGGGGAGGGGGGGGGGGGAGAAGGTAGAGGGTGAGTTGGAAAGAAATTGCTGAAAAATTCTCCAAAAGTCCAACTGGCTTTGTAAAATTGTTTTCGGTAGTTATACGCCCTGTTTCGTGAAGGCCCCTCCCAAGAAATTATGAAAAACATCTGAAGGGGACTAGGTGGACGGCACTGCTTTACAGCGCACCTAATTAAGACAAAATAATTTCGATTTTTTGCAGGTTGGGGGTCTATCGCCGACTGATGCCAGCTGTGGAAGTCAAACAGAGAAAAATTACCGTAGCCACCTGTGGTACGGTAAATTCTGCGTTCAGAAAAAGTAGTAACTCAACTGAGATCTCAGAGCTGGATTCTGCAAACACCACCGTTTCTAAGCAGTTAACTTAAGACGGGTTTCCCCAAAATTTTGTACATTTGACAATTTCCCTCTGCACTATCTTTTATCACTTGCATTTCATAATAATCTTACTGCTAATATTTGAATGTGCAGCGGTGAATGATTTTCCAAGCCTTTCATACTGTCAAGGCCTATAGTTTTTTTTACTCATTCTCAGCTTTTGAGAAGTCTCATTTGACGACGTTTTGTGATGGATTTCTTGTTGTGACGAGCTTTTCGAAGCGTTACTGTACACTGTTGAGACTTCGCACACTTTTAGAGAATTCTATTCTACAACTCTTACCCCTTGTTGTGTGTGTGCTCACCCTCGCCTTCGTTGTTTATAGTTCATCGCTTACCGTATTCAGCCGTTCTCAGATTGTGTAGTGGCAGTTGCAGACGGGTTCAGCTCCTTTAACAATGTTCAGGTGCATTGTTCGTGTAAATATTGCTTCTTATGTTGTAAATAAATATTGATTTTTTCTGAGCTGATTTGAAGCATGTCTTCTCAGGCTTTCTCTTCCGACGAATATTTTTTATACTATAGACCAAACAAAGAAAATAAATGTTTGATAGCCATGAGCAATTTCTAGAAACTGAGGTAGTATCGTGTTGTGAAAAGTGCCATGCAGCAACTGTTTTCAAATGGTTATGGAAGTACATCTCAATCAGAGCAGCAAGAACTTGATCGGCGATACTGAAAGAGGTGAAATATGAAATTAAGACTTACATATATAAATAGTAAACTCGCAGGAACCTTCTCTATGAAACAGTTTTGTAACGTATTCAAATAAGCATTCTCACCTATTTGCATGCAAGTGTTTTGCAAAATAAATTGGACAATTAAATTCAACAGTTGAAGGATAAAGCATCTCTCTAATTTCGCGATAGAGTAAGGTCTCTGAACGTGATGGTATAGAATTTGATAAAAAACACACACACACACACACACACAAAGCTATTTTGGTTTACGATATGGTGTAGAACGGCACTTTCGCTCAGAGTCCAAACTACGCTCGATAGCTCTATAATAGTCCAGTTGTTTCGGATAGATTTGCTTACGTCATAAACTACATCCCTCTGTAACTTTCTGAATTTCTTTTACCATCTTAATGGAAATGAATTGCAGTCATTACTTGCATATTTCTAAGAACGAATTTTTTTAAGATATGAGATTTTTGCTCAAAACATTTGTAGTGCATAAAGAGTGTAGCATTGGCATCTCGGACAAAACTTGATATCAAAGCTTGATAAGTTATTGCGTCTGAAAGTTGTTTTCTTTGATATCTATTTTGCTTAGAAATAATGTGCTCGCAGTGAACACGCATTTTCTGAATTATTCTCGTTCGCCTCTAGCGAGATTTCAAGTCTTCTCGTTTAGATATAACATGTTCTAGCACCTTGCGCGATGCAAGCCACACCTCATAAGACCCTGGGCATACCTCTCGATTTCAGTGGCCACGCGATTTTGGCCATTTGCCAAAGTCAAACCCAGTCACTCGCAGACCACAAATGCTTGGTGTATTCAGCTTTTGTAAGCCGATAAAATGTGCTATTTTCCGTGCGCTCAAATTGAGCTTGTGGCGAGTTACAAGCAACTGGAGTGCCAAGTCGCGTCGAGACTGATATCGCGTGAGGTATGCCCGGGGCCTAACAGGAGGCGGGGAGCGCTGGTTATCGCGTTATCTCGCGCGGCACTCTTCGCGCGCGGATCTGTTTTGCAGGGCACGCTGTCAAGGAGGAGTATACAGGGTGTCCCAAAAAAATGTTAACACTGTTTGATCGTTAATAACTCCCTTGCTTTCAAGTCTTTCGCCGAGCTTTAGGTACCATTTTGTAGAGCGAGGATAAACTTAGATTCACAGTATCGAGCGAGTCATCCAACGCTCCTCGTTACTGTAGAATTACGGTAGAAAATTGCAGCATGTGGAACCGTCGTGAAATATGCCCTCTGACAAAATTTTATTCAAAAAATCTGAAAAATTGTGTACTAGGGTTTTCGCGCACGCTGATTTTACTACACAACTTTTTACAAGTGTTTTCAACTTTCTTGAGGTGTAATCACATTTTGGCACATGCTGGGAAGTCAGTTATTACACTTTACCTAGGATAACTTTGAAAAGAAGTATCATAATGAAGTGAAAATTTCACATCCGAAATCAGCGGCCTTCATTACCATAGTAAAAGAGATTTCAGCTTGTTTGGCTCTGTTTCGAAGCAGAAAATGGGCTTTAATGGCCTAAAATCCTTGTCAAAATTCCTACCGTAATTCTACAGTAATGAGAAGAGTTAGATGATTCGCTCGATACTGCAAATCTAAGTTTATCCTCGCTCTACAAAATGGTACTTAAAGCTCGGCGAAAGACTTGAAAGCAAGGGAGTTATTAACGATCAAACAGTGTTAACATTTTTTTGGGACACCCTGTATACAGGGTGTCCCAAAAAATGTATCGAACGTTTGATCGTTAATATCTCTCTTTTAAAGAAGTCTTTTCCCTTGCTTTAGGTACCAACCTGTAGAGCTGGCTTCAACTTAGATTTGCTTTATAGAACGAATCACTCATCTCTCTTCATTAGTGTAGGATTGCGGTAGAAATTTCAAAAAGGGTTTTAAGCAATGAAAGGCCATATTTTGCCTCAAAAAAAAACAAAACCGCCTGAAAACTTTCACACTAGGCTAATTGGGGTCGCTGATTATAATCGTAAAGTTCCCAACTTGTTATGATGCTTCATTGAAGAGTTATGCCAGGTAAGAGGTAGCGGCCATTTTTTCAGTGTTCTTAAAAAGTGCGATTAAACCGTTTAGAAAGCTTCTTAATCCTGTGAATAGTTGAGTATTGAACTCAGCGTCCATAAAAACCCTATTACACATGTTTTCACATTTTTTTGAAAAATTTTGAAAAGGCAGCTTTTTCCACTGTGGCACCATATGTTTCAAGTTTCTACCGTAATCCTACAGTAATGAAAAGAGTTGGGTGATTCGTTTTATAATGCAAATCTAAGTTGAAGCCAGCTCTACGAAACGGTACCTGAAGCAAGGCAAAAGACTTCTTGCGAAGAGAAATATTGACGATCAAACGTTCGATACATTTTTTTTGGGACACCCTGTATATCCGCGCAAATAGCGGTAAGGCCTCTTCGAAATTTTTTTCCATATCAATTACTGTTAGTATGGTCGTGCCTGGCAGCGCCTCCAGTAGCTCCCGCTGATGGCTCATTCGAGTGTTTAGCGTTTAATAATCTTCTTGTGTTTGGAGACCGAAACAATTGCTGGTTCGTCAGTTGTAGATGGACAACGGTGGTGGAAGCGGAGTCGCGCCATACGCAAAGGGCTGGGATCTGCCAGGCACCCTGTGAACGAACCCCAACTTCATGTTGGAGATTATAATCACCTTGCGGCATCGGTAGCACGGGACGAACGGCTCGTCCCATGCATTTCTTCTTGCTCTAGTAGTAGCAGTTAGAGACTTTTAGTAATGTTTATGTTTCGTGTTTATGTTGTGGGTAAATGTGATGTAATCTGGTCGCGCTTGTGATTGTTTTACGTTATGCGAATTAGGGATATACGCGTCGAGCGGAAGCGCTGGGTGGGCACACTAGTGTGTAAGCGTAACTCCTGGGTCCTTACGTTGTAAGGCTGACGTAAGGAGTACTGGGCAAGGCGCTGAGCATATCTCTCAGTTGCTGGCCTCGTTCAGTGGTGCATCGATTCTACTCAGTCAGATGCCTAACTTCTGTAAAAAGGAGAATGTTTGTCGATATTGTTCGCTAGTGCATTCGGGTCTTCTATTTACTAATTACTATCAAGCATCACAAGTCATTTCATAGTATAAATGTGGTGAATGCTAATTGTTTGGAATTATCAAAACAGGTTTCCATTTTGTTTGACGAGGGCTTGACGCACTTTGTTGGCCAGTATTCGGAAATTATTCATAAATGTGTTCTAGTCTTGCCGCAATGATTCAATTCATAGCAAACGAGTTGCAAGCAGCGGTGCTGGCTTCACAGACTACAATACAAGCAATACTCGCAGATCCTGCTGGAAATATTGGGTTCCCGAAAGTTTTGTCCGTTTTTTCAAACCACTATAAAACCACGCATAATAAAAAACTGCATGAGTTTCAACATGCATTCGATGGAGCTTTTCCTTCTCTTTCATGGATACATTTTCGAACCACAATCTTGTATGCTTTTTTGATATTTGCCAAAATTCTCCACCCGTCAATTTTATCTGCTCAAGGTTAGGCTTCAAGAGTTTTGAAAAGGTTTAAGTATGCGTAAAATAGAGCAATTCTCGGGTAAGGCAGTACTTCAGATACTCCTTATCTGTTGTTTTTTGCTTCAAAAATTTTTTTTTCGGAAATCTCGATTTTTGGCAAAGTCATGAAACACGCAACTGCAGCAAATACGCGAAAGCTTTTGAAGTTTTTGCGACTTGAAACATGATTATTATTAAACATTTTTTATGCAACATAACCAGGTTAAACTTGCTTTGAAGAAACAGCTTTCTGAATTTTCAGTACTTTTAAGTGGTAAAGGTGATCAAAATGCCGCGGTTTTTATGGAATAAATAACTTAACGGACTTGGTAAGTGGCCCATGTAATCTAAAATGGGTACAGTGTAGTCAAAGGTTTGCTCTACATAACACTTACCAGCGCTCTTTGAAATTATCAGAATAAAAAGTTTAGAATTTAGGAAAAATTTGCCGTTATTGCTGAGCTGCTCAAAAAGCCAAAACGCGATAACATTGCAAAGACAGGGTAGATCAGAAAGCAAATAAAGCTGTAAGAACGAGGATAAAAATCTGAATTAAATGATACCTATGTCGTCCATGCATTGGTGTTTTGTGAGTTTTAGTGAGCAATGAAAAAAAACGGGCAAAAATTTCGAGACAACCTAATAGATTTCTAGAGAACTTGGAAGGTTTTATATTTGGAACAAAATTTCACTGCGTGAGAGGATATGTGGAATCGGCTCAAGTACCTCAGTTTTTCTTAACTGCGCTTTCTTTCTTTGGAGCAACCAGGCCCACTCAAAAGACGAAGTTTTCCCTAGAAAAATTCCACAAAAGAGAAAATAAAAGTGTTGTTGTTTTTCAACTGTCTGTTCGTTGTTGGAAATGCATGCTTTGGTTCGAAAACGTTAAAAACACCTAAATTGAAAAGTTTTTTGAGGGCTTCGGCCTCGGGCATACTTCAAGCGATTTTAGTTGCGACGCGATTCGGCAATAGTCTAACTGCGTATAACTTATCGTAATGGCATTCAAAATGTACAGAAAATAGGGCATTCTATCGACTACAGATATTATACAAGCTATGCATTGGTAGCCTGCTGGTGTTGGATTTGAAGAGATCTGGCAAATTGCCAGATCGCGTGGCGACTGAAAAAGCTTGATGTATGCACGAAGCTTCTGTGTTTTCTTCAACATCGCACATGAAAATTTTGAAAATTTAGTTTGACAGTTGTTACTGCTACTTTTATCACTATAAACTAAACGTAAGCAAAAATTCAAAAGGTGACTTGCTCATTTTTATGCTTGCTCAACATTCCACAACATATGGTCACAAATTTACTTGCGAACCACAGAAGCATTGCAGATCTTGGAAAGGAAGGAAGTAGAATAGCTTCTACAAGTAAAAGTATTGCTCTGTATTGCACATGTAAAACAGTCATTTCTTTGGTACTAGCCTTGCGAAAGTAGGTGATCCACAGCGCGTTCTAGGTTGCCGTCGCTAGCACGAAGGGCAGCAATTCCATCGGCTTCGCTTAGGAATCCCATTTTAGCCAACTGCTCTAATTCCCTTCTGTACTGCACTCGTGCTCTATCATTCACTTTGCTGGCATCATCAGTGGCAGGCGGAGGAGGTGGTGGAGACCTTGGCCGATGTGGTGTTGGAGAACTTGGCCGTGGAGCAACCACTTCTCTTTGTTGTGCGTTCGTCGGCTCGCCAGAACCGCGTCCGCAGAGCATTTCACCAAGATTGGGTGCTTCTCTATGAATCACTTGCATTTCCAGCTGTATTCTCCGCATAGCAGCCAGGACACGCGGGTTCTTCACGGCTGCTACAAATTCTGGACTGCGCATGATGTCCACAAACCTTGGCAGACGCTCTCGTATTTGCTCGATATGCTGCTGATTTTCAGCGCTAGGGTTTTGCTCAAAAGCCAAGTGAAAACCATCAGGATGCTTCTGCAGATTCTGCATAACCACCTCCATCATCTCCAACCACATGATCAACTGTATCGTTGCCTCGTCTGATGAAACACTTTTGATGAAGGATTCTGTTCTGGCTAGATTTATATGCTTTTGATTTCCATCAGAAACGTTTTGTTGTGAACTCTGTTGCTGGTCGCTAGAATCGTTTGTTTGCGAACCGGCTTGCTCTGCATCGTTTCCCTGAACAACCTTTCGCCTTTGAAGTGATTGCGCATTTATAGAATCTGCAAAATAACGGCTGGAGGTTTATCAGTGCTAGTAACTTCTAGTCATCTGATGCATTAGCTAATTTGTATATTTTTATCTGATAATAAGATTCGACAAAGTTTCGAAGATTTGCCCGGGGCCCAGCTTGATGGTAAAAAGACCATTTGTCCTTGCAAAGATCTAGCTGTGCTTTTCTTTCTTCGGCAGTTTACTGTATTTTCTCCAAAAAATTCTCTAATCGCACATGCTGTTTCTTCAGAATTTGACAATAACTCTTGCGAATTACAGTCCTCGTAAAATGATTTTGATTGTAGATTGAGAAAAATCCTTTTAGTAGCATCTCTTTGTGAAACCATTCGGCATACTGAAGGTTGAATGTGCTACCCCCATTTCCTCATTTGAAACTAGCAAGATTCTTGTTTTGGAAAAGAATTATTTGGTACTTTGCGAGATGAATGCGAGTATTTAAAGTCAAGAGCCAGGATCAATAACACTGAATTTTTCGCAAAGATATTGTGAGTGTTTTTCCTCGATATAAGCCTAGCCACTACCGTATCAACACAATTTTAAGGGATATCAAGTCTTTAGAACTTACTTGGCATCGACCGTACATAGCAGGGTGACCCGGATAGACCTGTTGAGGATAACCTAGGTATCGGAATCATCCTTGAAGAAGACAATAATTTTGGAAGCGGCTAACCTGTAACATAGGAACCAGGAGGTACTGCGTATGGATACGACTGCTGGTAGGGGTTGTAATGAGGATGCATCTGAAAAGTGTAGCGGTGCTTGAGTTGTGATAGCAAAGTAGAATCTTCACTTATATAGAGCTACTGGAAAGGCATATATAGCGACCAGAAATTTACCGGCACTCCTTGTGGGTTGGTGGCACCCACTGGGTACTGCTGAAATCCATAGGGCATAGGTGTTGGATAGCCCTGATTGACTTGTGGCATTATCTGAGGATATGGCGTATTCGGCTGTGGTCCCATCGACGGAATAGGCTGCATTGCTTGAGAACTGGATGGATAAGAAGTAGGAAGTGGCTGGGTTTGAAAGGCTGTTGGTTGCAAAGTTGGCATATTCGGAGGGATACTGCCCCCAGGTGCAGGAGTTGGAGTTGGGGTTGGGGATGTCACATAAGGTAATTGTTGCGAGGGTGTATTCCCATACTGAGCCAGCTGGAAAGCGGTTGGTACCATAGCAGGACCTTTTTCTGGAAGAGAAAAAAAAAGTAACGAGACAAAACCATAGGAATCAACTTGCCATGTTTTTGGAGGCCGGACGGTGTTGACCCACCAGGAAAGCCAGGATTTTCTCTTGATGAGGAAGCGGCAAAGAAGTTAGGAGAGGGTGGTACTGAACATAGCATCGTTTATCGTTACGAAAATTGGCTAAAAGATCAAACCGAAAGGTGAAGGCCCTCTGTTAGGCTGGTTGATGTTAGGAGAAGTAGTGATTGGTGGGGGAGTAGGTGCCATCAGGTTGGAAGAACTAGCATTGGCTATGGGTGCTGGTGTCGGGGTGAGACTCGATTCTGGAGGCCCTAAAATGAACATAATTTTTGCGAACAATAATTGCGGAATTGACCGTGCCTATGTCCAAATGCCGAAATTCGGTAATCGGGTCAGATCCCATTCTTGTGGCTTGTTCGTATGATGGGAGAGGGTCAAGAGTAGAGCCTTATAAAGCACTAGCAAATTATTCACGCCATCATATGGAATATGTAGCATTTACCTTGTGGAGGAGTGAAAACCACTTCTTCAACTATCAGTGGGCCTTCAATGTGCACATCCTTCACATCCAGTGGACTAACCCGGTGAACGAAATCAAGCACATGTTCATCGTTGTAGTAAATCTAAATTATACCTACACCTTCAGATTTCAAAAGTCAATTTAGCACTCTACCTCGACCACAAACTGGGTTATCCTCAAAAGTAGTGTGAATTTCATGTCAATCGGAAGAAAAATCTTCTTGTCAACCTCGCTCGTAAACTTTCCATCTATTCTAGCACTTGCAGTAATCTAAACGAGTTCTCTCTGCATGGGGCTATAAGTCGTTATTGCAGCAGTGAGCCAAAAACTTACCTTTCCACTTTTCCCAACCGGTACTGTAATGAGTACGGCAATATCTTTTGCAGTAGAGAGTTGCAGGGTAAAGTTCATGAAAATTTTGTAGGTTATCAGGTGTGAAGAGACCATGTGAATATGGCTTTGCTAATCATGACAGGCGAAATGTCGCTGGATTTTTGCTGTTCACACTTGAGATTAATCATTTTGAATTTTGGTTGTAAAGGTACATATGAAAAAAGAGATAGCTTGAGCGTGTATCACAAGTAAAGGTCATACAAGCTTGAAATCATATTCTTCAATGCTAAACTTCTCCGCACATAAGATTTCCAGATTTTTGCCAAGATAGGAAATAATATTAGAGCTAAAATGTTATCATGGTGATAATCCCCTGACCTCGCAGCAAATCTCACCCTCAACCCGCCACCACCCCAACGTAAGGTCGGCGAAAATGCCGCTCGCATTCAAACCCTCAGAGCCATTACAAAAAAATTCTCAATTGGGGAAGCAGCGCGACCTTATCGCAGTATTAAGAGACTGTGCGAACCAACCCCTATGTATAAAATCAACAGGGATGGCAGGAAAGATGCTGCGGACAACATCGCGACAGTTTCTGCCGGCATCTCGTCGAAATTTGTGAGGTGGTAGCTGCCGGCAGGTCAAAAAGCACAAAAATAATGTACTCTCTCAAGAAGAAAAGGTGCTAGCACCCAGACATGCCCCTACCCTGTCGAAATGCTTACGAAGTGTCGTAGTGCTGCCCTTAATCACCTTAGCCAACAATTCCAAAGTTTCCACTTTATTCCAAAAACAACGGTCATTTTTGCACCATCATTTTCTTAGTCATACAGATAGTATGTAACCTATTTTCAGGTGTATAAGCCGCGGGGAATTTTTTTTTTGTGAAAATGACCAGCTCAAACACGTCAGAGGACTTCGCAACCAAAGGATCTTATATTGCGTTGCATATTGCTTGAGAAAATCGTGCGGCATAAGAATCGCTTCTCGAAACACAGTGAGGCCGCTGAGCTTCCCGCTCAAAAATTCGAAAAAGTACGGCTTATACACCTGAAAATAGAAAAAAGGGAAGTTACTCGAATCGCTAAACAATAGTGAGCATGTCTTCTTTCTGAAATCTCCAATATCTCTTGCAACGGGTTCTTCGTCCTTTTGCTTTCTTTGTAATATAATCAGTAAAAACAATGCGCTGACATGCAAAAGGCTTACTGCTCATAAAGGAATATAATTCGGACAAAGTTATCGCGCTTCAAAGTGGGAGGCGGCCCTTCTGAACCCACCGTCCCCTACAGTAATCTAGAACTAGGACGCGCGAGTATGCGCTGCGATGACTGCGTACGAGTGCTCTGCGGAGGGCTCGTATTTTCGAAAATCACCAACTCCTTTCGTGCGGCTCTTGCATTATGGAATGCAAGCCAATCACGCTGATTTCATCCAAACACAGCTATCATCCTCTGAATGTTTGGTATTCTGAGCTTTATTTCCCAGCGGGTATGTTTATGATTTATGGGACATCTTCAAAGTCTTTTCATTTCCATGATTCATAGAAAACTTCTCATGAATCTCCTTTGAAATTCTTTCGAACTTTGTTTTTTTTTGCTTTTTTCCGCTTATATCCCTTGTGTGTGAGATTCTTATAACGTCGTGCGTCTTCACATCATATTGCTAATGTGAGCTGCTCGATGTTTTTGAGGAAAGCCCACGTAATCAAAGTTGTGTAACAACTCTCCTTAAAGGCCTATTATAACTTAAATTGGTGATCTACGCTCTCAAATGCGCATTTCCTTCTGACATTTCAGTGCAGCTCTGTAGTTTTCCAAGAAAATTATCATCTCCTCGAACTAAAAAAACAGTAAAATAAGTCGAAAAAGACATTGAAAATGTCTCATAGATCAAAAACGTAACACCTTAGAAAGTGGCCGGCGATCTAAGTAGTGTAGAGTAGAGCGAATCTAGGGAACTTGGGGAATTTAGGAATTTTCTAGAGAATTACAGAATCTCATTGTGGAGTAGGTTCCCAGCGATGTGAAACTCGTCCGCCTCCGCAGCGCGTCTGCCCAGGTCAGCTGCTCGCTCCCGCCAGCTAGCCAATCATGGAGTGACCTCTAATTAGCGCTGACCTTTCATAGCCGTCGCGATCGGGGCAGGTTCAGAAGGGCCTACACCCCTTCAAAGTGAAACATTGCAAAACACGCTTTATTTCTGCACCAACCTAAGTGTATATGAGATTAGGAGCTTATCCTGGAATCAAGTATAATACAAAGAAACAACCTTTACAATGATGTCTGATAGTCCTTTTTAGCTCCTTCCCCCTTTCTCATTCCTCTCCCAACAGATTTTAGCTCTTTGCACCAGAAGTGAAAACAAAATTGTTTTTTATGCTGTCCTTTCCTCTCTTTTCCTCATAACTTTTAGCTCTCTGGACTAAAAGTGAGTACAAACGCAAGTCGTTTCTCTAAATATCAAGCGAAAAGACAATCGGATTATTTTTATCAAAAAAAAACGTATGACGTGCGAGCTTGCGTCCCTAGTTCTGCACAAGCATAATCGATATGCTAATATTTACATAAGATACGTCGAATACCACTCTCTTGGATCCAGATCCTTCACCTACGTATTTTTGCGTTTTCTAGAGATAAATATGTGACGTACTTGAGCCTATCTTGGTACGCTCTCGCTTTCAGGGTTATTGATGTGCCAATAGCGCAACCGCTATGCACTTCGCGTCGAAATGGCATGTTCTGAAGGAAATATATACCTATAGTCTACACAAAGCTTTCTATCAAAGTAGATCATAAATTCTCTTAGTAGAAAGCTTACCGGTAACGTAAAACGTTGAGGAGCTGCCATTGCGTGTTGAGAAAAGCGGAAGAAGTGGAAGAAAGACTAGGGCAGATAAGAGTGAATTGCTTCTGCACGCTGATTCACAATGAATCGATTTATAGCACAGTATCAGGGACCGGCTGACTTTGGGCGCAAAACTTCTTGAAACTCTAAAATTCCAGATATAAAGATCAAAATGCAGTTAACACACTAAGCCCAGAAGTCGAATGCTTTGTTGCGAGAAATAAGCGCCAAAAGCGGAGAGAATTCTAGCAACAGAGAGAGAAACGACACGTCTTCTCGGCTTATCGTCTTCATGAATGCTGAGTATTCCGTCTTGGTCGCATATGAATCATACCCTTGAAATGCAAATAGTGACGAAATTTATGGTCGCGAAATAAGATCCCATGCACTCCAAATAGCGATCTCATTTTTCACATGGTAAATTTCGGTAAGTTTCCATATTTCCAGTCTCTAGCCTTTATCAGAATACTTGTGAAAAGAGAATGTACAGAAAATGCTGAGAATTATCGCAAAAACATACGAAGTGTAAAACATTCCGATCAAATGTCCAGTGACTATAAAACATTGAGTCATTGATTATTATGATGACACTACAATTACACAAGATGGGAAATAGAGCTTTCAACCTCATTGAACAAAGTGCTTGATATCGATCTCCTTTATTGCATTGTAATATATTGTTAGATGGGCATGAATAGAATCTCTTTAGAATTACACACCTTTTTTGTTTGTAGCTTATTTCTCAGAACATTGGAACATGTGTCACGAATGATAAGCTGTAGTTTCAAACTTCAATCTAGCAATCCGGCCAAATCCTATTTGCATGTGCTAATAATGTCAGAAAATCCGAGGTAATATGTATGAGCATAACTGATTCGACGATAACACGGGGGTGGGAGGAGAGATGATAAGAGCGATCAAAATTTTTCACGGAAATCACTAATACTATGGCTCGCACTCATCAGAAGGACTGATGTAACCAAGTTGTTGAAACACAATCAAATAAATGTGTAGTGCAATTTCTCACAAAATAATTAACACATAGCAAATCAAATAGATTTTTTTGCTTGGAGTTTTTTCTCGAAGCCATTTCAGGTCAGTTCGTTTTCGAGAAGTTTTTCTGCCAAGCACCATTTGCCTGTTCTAAATAGCAGCAGAGGCGGTACTTGGAATTAAAGCTACTTAGTGCTGAAGTGGACGAACGTGCGATCAAGGTAAAACGTTGCGCGACTAAGTCAACACAGTGGCAGCACAAAGACTCGTGCTATGAGTTTTTATTGTGAGAGCATATGGAATAATTTGAAACAATGATGTCAGAAAAAAGGACTTTAAAACTTTTTCCAGAAATTTTGTGATTTCAGAAACTATCATAGTATAAGAATGATTTTTGTGCACTCTAGTTGATAAAGCTGCCAAAATAATCAAATTCAGTGATCAGCGGGTATATTATGTAAACAACTAAACGTTGCAAATTTGTGGGTTTAGGCACTGATTTAGGCTATCAAGTCTTATGATCATCACTAAGAAAGTCGAGAATTAGCTTTTAAAAAGAGCGATTTGCAACGTCAATTGACAGCCACGTAGCATAGTGCCGGCCTTGGTAGACGTTATGAGGGAATAGATTGCATGCTACGGCTGTATAAAAAGGAAAAGGGCTGGCTTGCGAGAGCAAAGGATTTTGCGACTGGATTCGAAATGGAATGCGGGCACTTGAAAGGTTTCTTTATGTCAAGGACTTATCCTTTATCATTTTGGCAGAAACTGAATGTAAATGAACGAATAAAGTGTATAAAAAGTAAACTCTTGAATATTGCCTATGAGTAGAACCTTGCAGACGCAAAAGGAAAAACTAGATAACAGATTTATGTTTTTTTGTTTACCACTTAATGGGAACTCATCTGATAGGTCAGCTGGTTAGCATGAAGCCGCGAAGCATGCCGTAATATGTTATCTGAGAAAAGGCGGACGTCTTTTCTGCGCCGCATTATAGGCAAAGATGGATAGAACTCCCTGAAGTGCACATATGTTAAAAAAAACTGGTGCACTCCAAATCGAATGCGACATAGCCAAGCAACGCGGCCAATATCACCTCTACATCATCCACATAGGAAAATCATCACATTAAGTGCCGAGAAAACAGCAGAAAGCAAATTGAATGCAATGAAGGTAGCAAAGGGAACTGAATCTTGCTTTGAAGCAATCCGATTGAAACCTGAAACTACCCTTACTTATACGTATTACACAAAGGCAACATGACTCGTAGGATTTCATACGGGAAGGTGGAAGGACTAAAAGGACCATTTGAAAGCATTAAGATCTTATCAAATCACAGGCAAAGTCGAAACATTAAAAGAAGGCTCATGCTCAGCACAATTTAATTGTCATTGCAGACTTTCAGAGGTTTTTCCCCTCTTGTTTTGAGTGCATTTTTGCAAAATAATGTCATCAACACTGACGCCTTGAACCACTGGGCTCAGCCTAATGGCCCAACACCTAAACGGCGCGATTTGGCACTGCGGCGATTCTTTTACTTATCATAAGCATGCTTTGCCTAATACTTGAGGCATTTGCTTTACTTACAGAAGCTATGCGCTTATGAATCTAATAAGGAATGCATGTTTAGTCAAAGAGGCCTTTTCGGCTGAGATGTATAATGTATTGAAGGGCATAAAATGCTGACTGCAAATCTGCCTTTCTTGGCTGCAGAACCTTTATGGACGAGAAGTTATGATCGCTCAATGGAGCATAAAACTGAATGTAAGTAGTAAAAACAGCCGGAATACTTTTTCTAGCTTTCTAATGGAGCAGTGATACTCATCAAAGACTTTATTCAGAAAATACTCTAGAATAAAAAATATATCACACTTTGCTGCACTATTCGAGGGCTAGTAAGATTTTAGCAACTCATTTATCCAAAATGCACATTCTATTTTTGGCTCCAAAAAACGCTCATAACTAACGCTCATAACTCATAAATGTCTCTGCTATATCGCCTTCTTCAAAATCTGAAAAAGCAGCTAACTCATTAGTAATGGCTATGCACTCGTCGTTCATTTTGATTGTGTATATAAAACTTCTCTTTAGTTGCTGCGTGTCCTTTTTATTTGTTTGTGATAGGCGTTCTAACGAATTTGCCTTCGTCAAGGGTAAGGCAACTGTCTCGTTTACCGGGATAAATTGCGACGACGAAATTTCAGCTGCTTTTTGCGATTCAACCGCTGTATCATAATTAAGTCGGCGAATAATTTCTGTTACACTTATATTCCGTTTCTTAGGAATTAAAGAAGCTTTGAAAAGGATGTTAAAGGAGTGATGAGCGGTGCAAAGCTCTATCCATCGGTGCTGTCATGTCTTCGGTCCGTGCGCAGAGACGCCTACTTATGGGTATAGTACATTTTACGGTCATTTCCTTCCATGGACTGGCATTCTTGCAGGTATCAGCGAGAGTCCAGGCGTTGTGGATTCGGGCAGGGGTACAGTTCATAGTTTCTGGCTAACATGGGGGTAGCACAAATGTCTGCACATGTTCACATGAGTTACGGTGCGCCACGTTGGCGCAAATTTGCATTGGAGAGCATTTCTAAAAAATTTACGAAAATTATTTTCAGCATCTCTGTATCAAGCCCTACACTGTAAAAAAACTATTTAAGAAATACACCATACGCGTAGAAGTTGACACAAAAAGAAAAGTTTTCGACAAAATTCGAAACTTTCTGGTATCTTTCACACCCCTTGTTTTGACACGCTTGCAGCACCAAGGTGTTATCATAAAGGAGGCAGCTAAAATATATTTTAAAAAAGTTGAAAAAGAGAAAAAAACACAATTAGACGAACTGAGGAAAAAAGGAAATTTTAAATGGTATATCAAACTGTCGTAAACTTGCTAAAGTCGACTGCACGGGGTCACTGTAGGCTGAACGCACGCGAGCGTGTCTGCAACGCGGCTGCCGAGTTCGGGCGCTATGCTGACTTATGCGCTCGAATGCCAATGTTAGCCCGCAAGAGACACGCGCGGGCGTTCAGCCTGGGCGATTCTGCGCAGTCAACTATACTTATCAGTGGCGGTCCCAGATTTCGGACCGGGGGAGGGGGCGACAAATTCGCAAGTGAAGGTGTGTGGCGTTAGCCACGGGCTCCGAAAACTTTTTTGATGTGTTTCTCAAAATTTCTGCGGGTCCCCAACCCCAAAAATCTGGAGAAAGGGGACGTGGCGTCAAATTTTTTTTACAAGGCTGATTTGAATTTTTAAAAAATTTTAAAAAATATTTTAATTAATTACAAAGATAAACAAGTCGTTTGCACATTTTTATAACCCATATAGGTAAGTTTCAAAAATTTCGCGACCCATTCTTTGGGGAGGGGCCTCCTCGGACCGCCACTGCTACTTATGTATGTGCGGCACTAGTCATGCTGATGTGTACGCCCGTCGTCGTAAAGATGGAGCAAATTTGAAGGTTTTGGAAAGCTTTTAAATTTTTTCTAGAATCAAAGAAATAGTGCAAGAGAGATCATCCACTGATCAATAGTATTGTAAGTATCAGTATTAGTAGATATTAGTGCTATCGTCAATTAAAAGGCTGTTTATAGTCTCTCCTAAAGTGGGAAATGTGCGAACACTTATGCACAAAATGTAATGCTATAGAAACTTTTCACTAACTTCAGCTATTTTTTCATCTCAAAAAGGATGAGTCAAATACTGCAAGTTTCGGGATCTAAAAAAACTACATCCTCACTTTTATGGCCCTGTGTCATCGAGCTATTGTGAATCTGCTGACTCAACGGTCATTCAATGGAGACATAGATGCTAGCAATCTTTACGAGTGTCAATGCAGCAGCACGAGCTGAAGTTATACACGATTTGTCACGGAGATCAACCTAATCCATAGCGAAGTCAAAGTTGCGGGTTTTCCCTTAAAAAAATTATAACTTAACCAAATGTTATGGAAAATCAAGGTCTTTTCGCGAATAAATAGTGATCGAAAGTCAAATGAACTTTCAGAAATTCTATCCCTATATTTAGTGTAAGCCTTGCTCCATCCAACGTTTGCCTGCTGGATCAGCAAAAATGGAGATAAAAATTGGTGTGAAATAGTAATCTCATCTTACGAAGTGTAAAAGAATAAATTCTAGAAAGCATCCTAAATCTACAGGGTGTCAGTATGTATACACTGTTTGATCGTTGATATCTCTTTCTCCAAGAAGTCTTTCGTCTGCCTCTAAGCCCATTTTGTAGAGCTGGCCTTAACTTAGATTTACGGTATGGAGCGAATCATCGGTCGCACTTCATTAGTGTAGGATTGCGGTAGAAAATTCAAAAAGCGTTGTGAGTTAACAAGGGCCCTATTTCGCTTCAAAAAGCAAACCGAAAAACCAGAAGACATTTATACTACGTCAACTCAAGCCGCTAAAATCAAATATAACATTTGAACTTTACCGCAGTGCTTTCTTCATAATTTATGCCAGGTAGACCGCAATAGCTGTTTTCACAAGACTCCATAGATTGTGATTGCACCATTCTAAAAGCTTTGCGAAATCGTTAGGACTTGAATAATAAAATCAGCGAGCTTGAAAACCCTAGTACACCACTCAGACTTCCTGAAAATTTTTTCAGAAACACGGTAAATCCGTAATGACGCTATAAGCTGAAAGTTCCTCCGTGATCTTACAGTAGTGAACAGCGATCCATGATTCGCTCCATGCTGTAAATCTAAGTTGAAGCCAGCTCTACAAAATGGGACCTGAAGGTGGGCAAATGGCTTCTTGAGAAAGGAGATATTAACGGTCAAACAGTGTATACATACTTTGGATCACCCTGTATTGTTACTTGATTTTCTGTCTCAAGTATTCAACTCATTGGAAAAGCGAGAATTTAAGAATGATCCAGCATATGAGGTTTTCCATAGAAAATTCACTTTTATCAAGCTTCAGGTTAGTGCACAATTTCATAAATTTTACTATGTCGAACTGAAGTTTGTTCGCTCTCGGACTGCCAGCAAAGCTCACAAAGCAGTGGCCAATCGAAAAATTACGTGAATTTGATTGTTGAATACCGAGATTTATCGATCTACCAATCTTTAGTGAAGGGAAAAGATGTGGCCGATTCGACTTATCAGTATGGCATACATCGAATAGTGAAAAAGAAGCCGCCAACTACTCAGACAATCGCTGGGGGCAGGCGGGCACCGGAAAAATAGATTGCTGATTTCTCGCACCCCGCTCGCGGATTTTTTTGAAAGCAATCAGGACTTTTCGGAAGACCGCTTGCTGAGTCAGCGGATTTTTGAGAGACCGCCTATTGAATTTTTTTCGCTCTTATCTTTTGCAGATATATTGCTGAATCTCTGAGGAATCGAGAACTCAGCAAGCGATCTTCCGAAAAGTCCTGATTGCTTTCCAAAAAATCCGCGAGAGGGGTGCGAGAGATCAGCAATCTATTTTTCCGGTGCCCGCTTGCCCCCGCGATTGTCTGAGTATACAGACACGCGACAAAAATGCTGACCAAATCACTTCCAATTATTGCTCGAGTAAACAAATACTGACCGAGGATAATCGCTGGAAAATAAACTAGCAGGCTCTCCCCCGATTCTGGAACACAATTCGTCGTATTTGTACTGTTAGCCTTAGAGTAGTCTGTTATTGGTTATCAGAAACATTGTTTAATCCTTCTCTGTCATCCGGTCGTAAGGCGCATTTCTTTGTATACCACTAGGCATTCCTATAATTCCAGATACAGCGTTAAATACTTTTTCACAGCTGTTGTACTTGCAATTTGTGTATACTAGTTTGCGATGGTTTTGAGCCATCTCACAATGAGAAGCCAAATCTAACTAGTTAATGAATGAGTTTTCTAGCAAAAAACAAAAACTCATATCGTCGTCTCCCCGCGATAGATGGGGCGTGTCGTCTGCAAAGTCCGTGGACGTGCGTATTTCGTACGGTATTAGCCATGGCGTGGCATGTATATACATGCCACATCTGAATACTTGTTAAATCTTCATCATATAACATTAGTTTTCGTACTCTCTAACTGCCAAAAACTGGCACGAGCATACGTTGGCAACGTTGGCAAAGCCACTCCGGCTAGCACCGTACGAGAACACGCACATCTACGGACTTTGCAGACGACACGCCCCATCTATCGCGGGGAGACGACGATAGGTAGCGCGCAGGTGAAGCCATTTCTACTTTTCGATTCTCAGACTAGTGGTGGTCCTTGGAGTCAATGTTCGTAAATGTGACGCCCGGAAGATTAACAATTACAAAAATGAATTTCAGAGACGAATGAAGTTCCTTATTGTGAACAGACGAAGTTGATAATATTGAAGTTTCAGATTGCCAAAAACCCGCTTTTATGTGTTTGATGCTCTCACTTGCACCATGAAATCACCGAGAATGAATATCTCCGAATGAAATTTGTAACAGTTCAAACAATCATCAGGAGGAATCCAAAAGTGATACCATGTGAACCCTAGACTTGCTCTACGTGTCTATTACCTATCCTTTGTAAAAATTCAAGGTAAGTGAGAAATTTTGGAACGTTTAAATGATTTAGGGTTTTGGGCACAAACATCAGAAAAAGAGGATGAGACTTCATCAAATGAGGTTATGCTTGTCAGCTGTTAGATTTGAAGAGTTTGCTATGATTGATAAAGAGCTTTGAAAGCTGTGAAAATAATTATTTTTATTTAGTTTCTACTAGCTGGCTTACCCGGCTCCGCCGTATGTTCCGAATAGAAAATTCCATTTCTTAACCAATCCGGACCAAACTTGGCACACATACACTTCGGGCCCCGGCGGGTGTCACAGTCCACTTTTCGTTATCGATTGATGTCGATTTTATCGATTTTTTGCAAAATTTGAGCTAGGAGGCTGGGATTTGGCAAAGGGGGGTAATCGAGCATGCTGATTACGAATACAATATTAGTTTTCGAAACCGTGCATTACTTTTATCGATTTTATCATCGGAATCCCCATGCTCAATTACCCCCCTGTGCCAACTCCCAGCCTCCTAGCTCAAATTTTGCAAAAAATCGATAAAATCGACATCAATCGATAACGAAAAGTGGACTGTGACACCCGCCGGGGCCCGAAGTGTATGTGTGCCAAGTTTGGTCCGGATTGGTTAAGAAATGGAATTTTCTATTCGGAACATACGTACACACAGACAGACATACATACAGACAGACAGACAGCCAGACAGACAGACAGACAGACAAACAGACATTCAGCTTTATATATAAGATTGTACACCGACTGTGCTTCAACAACCCGTAGTTTGCAATTGATGAGGGTAAAGCCGTCATTTTGTTCGTGATCAGCATCCTCATTTGTTTTTCCTGTACCAGTCCCGGTGCCAAGCTTGGTGTCGGTAAAGAACATGGTGGTTCAAAGTGACTGTTATTTTTTGCAGACGCTTCTTCTTGCATGCGCAGAGACATAGTTCCTCATCTCGCATTTCAAGTTCTATTAGAAATTAAACTCTATAGTTTTAACAATTAATATTGTGTCCGTAAACATGCTTTCTCTGAACCAATTCTCCCACATCTACAAATTTCTGGAAGCCAATGATCGATATCAAGAGTAAAACATAGCGCACCACTGGAATGTGATGCAGTTTGGAGATGCGTCCAAGAATGGAATTATCTGTACGAATCATATACTTTATACAAGCAGAACACACTAGTAGGCATTAAGCTTTATTTATATGAAACAGCTAATGCAAGATGTTCGATTTCGCCAACGTTCTTGATCTACTACAAGCGCTGCTTCAACAACTCGTGGGGATCCTTGGCTTTCGGATCTCTTTTGCTCCCTGCATCCAACTTTACTTTCCACTTAGAGCTCACCGGATCCTCACAGCTGCGTCGTACAGTAGCTGTCACCAATCCAGGTTTTTTCTGGCCAACCTTGTTAGGCTGCGCATACTTGCCACCGCAGACTTTCTCAAAAACGGTTAATTTGCTTTCCAGTGTGCCTGCCAACTTTTGCGCTTTATTAAAGCACCAATATTTTTCATAATCGTTTTCGTCCGCAGAACTAGGCGACTTGCTGTAAGTAGTTCTATCCATGTTGTGGCCGCCATCGGTAACAGATTTGTTTTGCTCTTCCACATTTTCATTATTATGAGAATCATGTTCTATTCGCAAGTGATGTTGTTCTACTTTTGTAGCGGTAACCTGTGTCGATCCTTTATGAACTTTTGTCGCAGATTTTCTGATAGGAGTGTAAAGTGAGTCAACATGATGCTCCTGTTGTTTACCCTTTACAACTAAGCTGGTTGGCGAATTTTTTTGCGATATATCCCTCTTCTTTCCAGTTGTGCCGCACTTGTCAAACGCCGATATGTTACAGTAAACTGGGCCTTTCTCTGTGCGACTCTCCATATCAGTGCTGCTGCTTGTGGTACCTTCTCCACTACTACCTGACGGCGTTCCCTTCTTCGACATCGTATTTGCTATTTTCGGTCTCATGTTTTCGTACACATGCTCTTGCAACAACATTGTGCTAGCGGCATCTCTATTTTTAAGTTGATCTAAAGAACTTGATAAAGCTGATTTGACATTTCCATTGTGGTAAGTGGGGACGGCGCTACTTGACATCTCCATGCCCATGTCATGTTTTGCTACTTCATGCGCGTAGGCCTTCGCCTGTCCAGATGCTGTAACGTTAGACTTCTCCGAACATCTACGTACATAGGCCTCAACTTTCTTATCACCAGCAATGCTTTCCAGCATCTTCATCAGTGCCGGTGTCTCATTGTAAATATTTTGCACTTCCTTGTCAATGCTCTTTAATGCTGTCGCAATTCGTGGGTTTCCAGTCCTAGTACTTCTGAGAAATGGAGACAAATAATGTTCTTTTCTGCTAACGTCGGAAACATTCGAGTTCCGTGCTTGACAAATCGATTTGGACAAATTGTTTAGGTAAGCTGCAAGCTCATCAGTAGTAATCTGGTTATCAGCGCCCCAATATACGGTCTCTTGTGCCGGCTGGATCTGATAATGAAACAAAAAAATAAAGTTGATAAATTTGTTTAATGTACAAGAACTTACACATCCAAGTGGTAATGGAGCTGAATGAAGTTGTTCGTTTTCTAAAACGAGTGTGGATTGAATCAAAACTGACATTAGAATGACCTAGTAGACTTTCAACAAACCTGCAAGGCCTGTTTGCTGTATTAGAATTGCAGGTGGAAGATTAGGAGGAATCTTCATAAAAAACATGAATCATTCTAACAGCGCAAACAATAGACAGGAGAAAAAGCAATATAAATACCAGCAATCCCATTGGAGTGAGAATCGCTATTGGGCATGTTTCTGGCGCTGCAGGCTCCGAATCCCCATTTGGCTTGCAGGGCGGGCTTAATGGCTCTGCTGGTTCTGGTGAAGTGACTAAAGTTTTTGATTCAGAAGGTGTAGTGGTATATGCGCACTGCTCGGGCTCGGGCTTCTCTTCCACTTCACTTGATGCACCAGTAAGAGGATACAAGATTTGCGTACGTCCGTTACCTAAAACACGGATGGAGAAGATGAAGGTATCAGGTCGTGACATAAGTTTTGTTACAATTTTTTGTAAAAATTACCGTACTTTCATATTTTTCCTCATTTCGATTCGTATAAGGTTATAAGTTCCTGATAAATACGTATCGTATATAAAAATTGATTTTTGTACTTTATGCAGAAAAGCAATTCATTTTTGGGTTTCCAACGCCCGTTGTTGAGAAGCTTCTATCCCAAAAAATTCTGCTCGTTAGCACTAATGTTTTTAGAAATCCAATAAATCTAAAGAGATTAAAAAATAGATAACTTCACAAATCAAAGAAAAAATGGAGTTTGCAGTAACGGGCATCGCCTGAACTATTCTTTTGCTACTCCTGTCCGTAATGCTGAAAATGATGCCAATGAATACTCTTTGTGCCTTCTCCATATATGCGGGGAAAAAAGTGTAACAAAACTCGTGTTACAATTCAATGGAAGCCAAGATGAGATGTATTACAGATTACATAGAAAGCCTGATGCAGAATGCAATACCTTGATATAATTTTACAATAACTTCTTCCAATTTCAGTGTTCCGTCTATGTGCAAACTAGTGAGTTTTTCAAGTTTTGTGCGATGGTTGAAGGTCATTATGCGTGTGCCGTTGAAAAGTACCTGGACATGACTTTTACAGAGATGTAAACTAATGGTTTCGTCATACCTTTACGTCAGATCTAGTAAAGATCAACTCGAAAATGTAGTTTTTTTCAAGGGGTAAAACGGCAGCCGTCCTAGTTTCTGTAGTATCAGAACCATCTATAAGAAGTCTGGATGTAATCTAAAAAAAACTTTGTTTTGAATAGAGAGGCTATTCATGGAGGCATCACCATCCCGTCTTCGGCTATTGATATCTTGAGTATCAATGCAGTTTTTCGAGAAGCAGCAAATCGAACACCAATGCCTCTTAATAATAAAACATCAGAAAAATTAAATATACACTTATATATCTTATAAAGGAAAGCTATTGCTCGGTTTAACACACAATCAAACTTTTAACATAGAAAGATTAGCTACGCATGAGACATCGTTATTACTGTACTTCCCCTTATGATGCCTCTCCTTTTTGCATGATTCCTTGAACTAAAACAGCAAGCCAACGTTGAGATAAGCTAAAATTGAAACTATCTGTACTCAAAGTGTAATTCCATAAGAAAATATGCTCAATGACACTGGCTTGTTAAAAAAACTAACACATTTTACTTTCTTGAAAATATGGGTACCCTGTCAGAATTAATCGTTTATCAATGGAGTGACGAGAAACTAGAAAAGCTGTGAACTTGAGTGGTAACCTATCAGTCTCCTAATGAAACTGTGTTTAACGACTTTAATTATCCGATTTATTACCCTCTCCATATCGGGATTTTTTGTGTGGAAGCCTAATCGATAACGGGGAGGTTTCTCAAAAACAAACGATCACTTGTCACCTTCCTTATGAAGGTTAATATGCAGATCTTGATTCGACACAAAAAAGCAATCACTTATCATATCTTAAACACACCTCTTTTTCTTCTTCAGCGGTTTCGCTATGATTACAAATGAAGATCCGGGTGGGCAACCGTGATCCAATTTTTGTGTGAAAGAAACGATATCACCATGAGCCTACAAAATGAACGTATTACAAATTATAATCTTCTAGTTTTTTTACCACTTACCATAATTGAATCAGCGCAACCATGTGAATTCAAGCAGGAGGCTAGCTTAGATAACGACGAGTCCTATGTACTGTGTCAGCGAAATGTTTTTTAGCTAGCATATTTGTGGCGATAATCACGCAACTTCAGAACGTTTTTCTCAACTAAATTGCGGATATTTGACCAATGGTCGACTTCGCTGATTCCATGTACAGGCATCCCAATGATAGGGCACTGACCATTTTTCACGTAGCGATCTCAGAAGGGTGGGAATTTGTGTATAAAATATTGAATTGTGAATAGATTTTCACTAGGTTGTTCTATGAGTTTCACACCCCTATTGACGGCGCTATGTTATAATGTTTTTTTGTGAATAAATTATATCTTCAAAAACGTTGGTGACGTTTCTGCTTTATCTTTGCGAACAGAAATTTTTTTTCACGGGCAAAGAGTTGGGTATCCATGATTTTAGATCTGCCGTGACAAATCTCAAATGTCTCCCGAATAGAGACAGAATAACGTTTGCAAGTGTTGATGCTGAAAGTTTTTCTTTTAGTTATTGGTTGCACAGCTCCCATTACGGGAACCTCACAATGCTTTGTAGAATTACATATACTGCAGTGGCGGACCGACGGGAGGGCGGGGGGGGGGGGGAAAGGGAGGGGGCGCCTTCTCTCCCGAGAATGGGTTGCGAAATTCTTGAAACTTACCTACATGGGTTATAAAAATGTGCAAATGATTCGTTTATTTTTGTAAACAATTAAAATTTTTTAAAATTTTTTAAAAAATCAAATTAGCCTTGTAAAGCTGGCGCCACCCCCCTCCTTTTTCTAGATTTTAGGGGTCTAGGGCTATCATCATTGTTAACTAATACAGACGAACCATTTTTCTCTGACTTTCATTAGAAGCGCAAAAAATGCGGGTGCCCTGTGGATCATGACGCAGCGCATCTTTTGTCCACTCTCCCTTTCTCTCCTCGCTCTCGCTGGGCCGTTCTATTAGGTCGTTCATGAAAACTCTGCCATAAAGGTTGAATTATTTTTGAACATGACCTTATAAAAAGCTGACAATCAATTTATGTGTATTAACAGCCCTAAACTTTTAACGGAATGTATAACGGAGACTGCTCTTCGCTGGCTGCGTGATGATAAGGGTGAAGACCTCGATTTTCTGGAATCGATCAAAGATGTTTCTTCGTCTGAGAGGAGCTATTATATCTACATTACAAATCTAAATCCAGCCTGCTTTTCCAAACTTAGATTGCGAAAGCGGTGAAGAACTTTAAATAACCCACTTCTCCGAACCATTTCACTCTAGAACTATACGCAAACATTTGAAAAGATTTTTCTCGAACTACGCTTTCCAGCAATATCATACAGCCTGTCTACGTGTTTTTTTTTTGCAATCGACAGATGCGGCAATTTCGAGAATTGGGATCTCGAGAACAAGTATCATATATATGTATATATATATGTGTATTTATCAATGTTTGAACGTTAATGTTTACTACTGGCGCTTGGATGTCAAAGAACATCGAATGAATGCCCTGAGTCTCATAGGAGCTATTCTTTTCTTTCTAAAGGTTATGCATTCTCTCAAATCAAATTTTGCATCGAAGTCTTCTCTTTATTTCTTACTCACATGAAGTTTCAGTTGCAGCGAATATGTAAAAAAATTAGATTGCAAGCTGTTTTTTTCAAATCTCCGACTAGCTTCAACTTTTTGAGATAAGTTCGAAATGATTTCAGGAGCACACAGTTGCTCAGAATATCAACTCAAGATTTTCTTTACTTTTCAGACGGTTTACTTATAAAATCATTTCAGTACGATTTTCTTGATGTAAGCAATGTTTATAGGCAATCGTCGTTTTTGTATTGCAATAAACAGTTGATATGTTTATGCTACTCACAACAAGTCAAAAACCAATAACAAAGCAAAAGTTTCCGTCTTCTTCGTCTCCAGAAGAAGTATCTACATTTGTATCGGGATGAGACGTACTAGAGCATTGCTTTTCTTTATTTACGGTTGCTACGTCGGCTTTATCAACTTTAATAATTGGTCTCAATTTATTGCCTTTTGCATCTTTTCTTTCTTCTGGCACTTTTCGCTCAAACTTTGCTGCTTCTCCACTCGTGGCAGCTTCCTGAGCTTCGTGACTTGAAATCTGTGCGAGATTGTGAATAGAAGCCGTTGTTATATCTGGAGTTTTCACCAAAACCTCTTCTTCAGTACAAAGAGTACTTTTACTTCTGCTCACAGCACTGAATTTACTGTGCAAAAATAGGTCCTCATCTGTCTTTGTACCAAACACCTCTGTCAATTCGTCTATCTCCTCGTATATGTGTTCGTCATCCAGAAGGCTTGACGAAGAGTCGAAACTATCCCAATTGTCCACTTCCCCTTCTTGCGTAACAGTTGTCGTGCTGCCTTGTGTGTTAGCTAATCTTCTCTTCAAATCTTCCACAACCGCGCGAGTTCTTTCGTGAACTTCCTGGCTTTTGGAGTGCGATCTCGAACTGGCTTTTGTAAAATTCTCACCTGCCTGTTTTGATTCAGAACAATCCTCTTTTCCCTCGAGTTTTGGAGTTCTTTCACTTTGCATCACTCCCACTCCAGATAGTACTTCAAAAGAGCGAAAGAATTTTTTGTGTGAGCCATGTGGATCAGCGTTCACAGTGGTCAAAATGTTTGGAAATGCAGGGAACTGTCTTTCTCCTCTTTCTTCTCCAAAATTTAAATTGTTGAGCGATCTATGCACAAAATCATTGCTTTTGTTTGATTCCTTTTTATGGATAGCATGGCCGCAAGTTGCTTTGCTGCTGTTCGATCTTGTGTTTGCTTCCACTGCATCATGGGTTTTCTCTTGGATAAGTTGGCTAAAGCTGATGATTTTTTCTGCCACGCTTGTCCCCATGTCCTTCCGATTCGTTCGCGACTCTTCGCTTGATTCTGAATGTGATGAACTTTTTGGAGTACAACTTGCTTTTTCAATTTCCGTGCACTCACTCCCTCCACTTTTCTTCTTTGCTTCCTTCGATTTTGCTGTCTCCACCTGCGCAGTTTTCTGAGCTGTCTTAACACCGGATGAACTCGCATTAAATTTCCAAGGCTCTGGCGATTCTGGTCTATAAGAAGTATCAATGCGCTGTGCAAAATGTTTGCGATACATGTCCCTGCGAGAACCTGTGCTAGGAACAGTAAGGTTGTTTGATTCGCCTGCTTTACTCGCAGTACCGAACCTAGCAGAGATCGCACGTACACCTCTTTCGTCTTCCTTATGTTCGCCATTTTTCTTCTCCAGCATTTCCATCATTTCAGGTGCCTCACTTTGAATGACCTGCACTTCCAAGAGAATGTTTTTCAACGCGAGTGCTAATCGTGAATTTTGCATCACTGTGGAGTCCTTCGTGTGCTTGAAAACGCTAGGAAAACCGAAGTCTTCCGTTTCGATGTGATCGGCAACCTCCGCTGAATCTTGTATTTGGCACATTGATGTAAACAAATCCGTAAGCTGCCTTTGGAGCTCATCGGAAATATTGCTATCATTCGTGCGTTTGTGGAAGTCATGTGTTTGTGCGACCTGCAAGACAATGAAAAATGGTTTTCGCTTAATCACATAACCGAACATGCAAAGGGTGGTCCACATTAGTGTGATGCGAAGATACCCTTAGATTTCGCACGAAATAAAAAATACAAGGTTTTTCTCTTCATCTGCGAGAAAAGAATTTTTGCGTAAGATCCAAGAGCGCTTTCAAGACATCAACCATTGCTTTATGCAAGCATATATTCTCTTTCGAAATAATCCAGAGCACGCGCAAGTTTCTGGTAAAGATTTGTTCCATGCTCTAACAGGTTTCTTTCAGCGAATAAATTTAATGAGTTGGAGAGAACAGGCTCTTCGCATTCAGCTAAACACACGGTAAAGATGACCGCAAAAGACGAAAATATGGAGAAGACGGTTATCAGTAAAACACAGCAAGAAATCAACCAAGAAATAATCTTTCGCAGCCCGTCACACTTCTGAGGACCACTCTTTATGGGTATATAAAAACACAAGCTCACGGGCCCGCTTGATCCGACTTGTACAGGATCATCTGGATGAATTTGTTCGTCTTCTGAAACGGCATAACATGGGAGGTGGACTCGTAAGCTTAACTTCATAAGCAAAATTCAAACCAACCAGCAAAGGTGACCGCTTGGTTCATTAGTACAGCAGACGGAAAGTTGCGGGGTATCTACAAAAGACAAATACGTTCAAAAAGTATGAGACAGGAAAGAAGTTTACCAGAAATCCCATCGGTGTAAGAACCGCAATTGGACACATTTGTGTTACTGGTGGCATCGGTCGTATATTCGCTTCAGGCGCATTTGATGAAACTTGACGTTTTAGCTGAATGATCGGCCTTCCAGACTCCCAAGCTGCTATGCGTGGTTTCGGCGCAATGATTGGCCTTGCCGCTTTAGATTTTGACAAACACGGTTTTGGAGGAATGGCTGGCTTTCCGGGCTTAGAATGAGACGCTTGAGATTCTGCGGAAACGATTGGCTTTCCAGAACTTAGCAGTTGAGGTTTTGGCGGAATGATCGGCTTTCCTGTTTTAATTGTTCTGGTGGAATGCCTTTTGCGCAGCTTTCCCTTTCTCAATGAGCACCTTAAAGATGTCGTGCTGTGTTTTTTTTCATGAAAACGACGCCAACCTCTTCTTATCCTTTGCCGCATTCTTTTTGATGGCAGTTGAGGTGGATGGGCAGCCATCATCCAGGTTTTTGTTAGACTAAAAGGTGTTTTGAGTGTCCATGAACAAAATAAACCTTTATAAGAAATTACCTCTTCCTCTTATATGCTACTACTTACCATGTTCAAAAACTATAGTTGTGCTCAAGCACAGCAACGCAAGAAATAATGATCAGCAGATAAGAATCCCCTTGGTACTTGCCAGGGAAACGCTTTTTTAGCAAGCACTTAACAGAATCTAAAATACTCAGTAATAGCTGCATTTAGATCCCTGATACTAAATAAGCACTGGAGCAAACTTGCTATCGTGCTCACGTCTTGGTGATGACAGCCACACAGTGATTTTGAGAATTAGCAGAATGACGTCATTTAATCAATTCCTCTCCTCCTTCGGTTATCTCTTTCAAAAAAACCAACACGGGACGAACACATTCATATCTATTAGGGCAGCAGCAGTGATAAGGTTTTGATTGACTTTATCAAAATAAATGGTTGGTAGGTTCTTCTTTTGGCTTCTAAGCAAACGAGGTCTGCACTCCAAGAGTGTAAAATTGCATAATAAACGCAGAAGTGCAAAGTATCATCTGCACTTTTGCCAAAACATTACAATGATTGGGAGCAATAATTAGCGGAAGACTGTTCCTTAGAAACAAGTGTTCCTAACCATGCAGAAGAAGACTCGGTACTTTTCCCTTAACCGGACCCATTTTTGTAAAAGGCTTTCATGAAATACGTTCTTTAGTTTAAAAACTATTTTTATAGATTCTACGAGGACAGTTTCCTTGTCACGTGTCAGAAAAAAAATTGACACCTTAAAAACCATTTAGCTCATTTCAAAATGTTTTTTTCGAAAAAAGTTTAAGTTAGTTTAGTTTAGTTAGTTTAGTTCTTTTGATAAGGCAAAACTGTCTACAGCTCATAGCAGAATATTTTGATTGCTTCCAGCAGTGATTCAGAAACGCCTTTTGCAAAAAAGAATATAAATGATGGTATAAAGTACTTCGCTGCTGCTTCTTTCGCCGATTAGATGATGGAACCCCAGGGCACTCTATTCTGGGTCTAATTTTTACATTGATAACGCATGACGTTGCTATTAGAACAGTATACTTCTTTGGAATTGTTTGATTCAAAGGATCATTATTGACTAAATGATTGAACTTACTTCGTTGGGTAGGGCAACACAAACTCTTGGTAGAATCTATTAAACATGTATACGGCATTTTAAATTCTTTTGACACGTGGCAGGAGGTTGACACTCCTTCCTGTGAAGTTGGGGCCAAATATGATAGGACAAAAAAAGCAATATCTCTCCTCGAAATAACGGGTCCGGATAACGGAAAAGCACTGAGGACTCTATCAAAATAAGATTTGCACAGTATTTGCAAGAACGTTTCACCCCATATTAAAGGTAGTGGCAAGGATAAATTGTAGCTGTGCGCTTTCTGTTCCCCCTTGGCCTTCTGGACGCGTTCAGACCAGAGCTGTGCTTGAAAAGTCAAAAAAGTGCTTTTCATGGCGTTTACGGTCTTGGAGATTGCTGAGAAGGATGACGGAGATTCCCGCCAAAAACAGTGACTGGCTGCAGAAGACTGTAACACCACTCATTTTGGCGGCAGTCGGCCGATTGGCCCAAGCAGCCAACCGCGACTCGGCTGAGGGAATCTCCGCTCCAGCCTTTTCAGCAATTTCCAAGGCCGGAAAACGTCATAAAAGGCACTTTTTTGACTTTTCAAGCACAGCCCTGTCTAAACGAATTAAGAAGACCAAGCAAGAACAGAAAGCGCGCAGCTGCAATTTTCCCGAGCCACTGCCTATAGGCTAGACCACTCAAAAGATTTCTCTCAGACGTACCACACCCCCAAGCTCATATTGTTTGAAAAGCCTTACAATGTAACAAAAATTTATTTTATGTCATTATGTTTTCCCACTGAGCGGTTTACTTTACATGTGTTGGAAATTCCTTGACTAACTCAGCATAATGCAATGGTAAAGAGCGATCGGTGATTCGCTGAATGCTGTAAATCTAAGCTAAAATCAGCTCTTCAAAATAAATAGAAGATTTGCAAAAGACTCTGTTACAAGAGAGTATTGATGTTCAAAATTGCCAAATTTTTCCAGATACACGTAAATTCGTTTCTATAAACGCTTATATGTTCTGCAACGTCTTCATCTAATTTTCACATTCTTGTACCTCCCAACCTCATGCTCAATCTAGGTGATATTTTCTTTGAAATTATAAAATTTACGAAACTCAGTTATAAACCGAGATATTCGAGATCGAAGGTCCTGAGCTAGGAAAAATGTGTCAGTGAGACGAGCAACTGCGGATATAGTGGGTCTAAATCAAAATGACGGATATAACCCTAATATTATGCGTACAAATCGCACCTTTTCCGATTTTTCAAGCGAGCCGCTCAGCTGTGCCTCGGAAAGCAATCCTTATGCAGCACATTCTTCTAGGCGATAAGCAAGGGTCGTTTGGTCGCGAAGATATTTTAAAAAATTTCCGCGTCTTGTACGTGGATCCTATTTATAAAGGAAAAAGGTTTGATGGCTCTAAGCGGGGAACGGAACTTAGGAACCCGAGCCTAATTAGCTCGATTCGGGGAGTGGCTGCAGGATACAGTCATGCTCGCTATCTCCGATTGCTCCCTACTACATGGCGACAATTTAAGCACCGCCCCCGAAGAGCCTCTTTTGGAACCTGGCCAAGGTATGCTGAAAATCCCAATTGAACTTCAGGTCACCGAAATTGGCTATTAGCCAAAAACCTTCAAAATGATCGTACGAAGGTGAAATTAGGTTCAAACGGAAGAGAAAAACCGTGCCGTTATTAAAACTTATCTGCTGATTGAAACTGATGGAACACAACATTTTTTGTTCAAAAGTTTATCTGAGCGTCGAATTCAGACAAAACACTGGGAAATTTATTGAGAAATTGTCTAGCTTTTCAAAAATAATTTATTTGAGTGCCAATTTCTATTTCAAAGGGCAAAAGACTAGCAAATCATTTGAGACATGACAGCTCAAAAACTTTTTAGAAATAATAGTTCATTTGAGTGCTGAAATTCGGGCGAAAGACCTGAAAAACATCCAGGAAATGAGTTTTTTAGAAACTTATCAGAAATAATAGCTTATTCGTGTACTGATGTTCGCTAAAAGACTAGAAAATCGTTCATGGAATGACAGTTCAAAATTCCACTATTGATATTGTTAATCAAAAACTGTCAACGACAGACGATTTTGATGTGCGAAGAACATCTGGCAAATATGCTGTAAACAATGACCTCAACCTACGGCAAGAAAAGGTTAGAAAAACAGTTTGATGCAAAACTTTTTTATAATAGTAGCGTAAAGTATGAAAACCACTTATCGTTACCATCGATAATCTCAACTTTTATTTTTATATCTTCTTCAGACAATTCTTATAGCTATGACTACTGAGTATCACTTCTTGAATTTCTTTCATCCGAATTTAACCACGTAAATGAGCGATATTTTGAGAAGTTTCTAAATTATCATTTCGTGAATGTTTCTCTAATGTTTTGCCCAAACTTCAGCACACAACTAAACTTTTATTTTTGAAAAGTTTCTAGTCATTTCTTGATTGATTTTTATCTTTTCCCGTATTCAGCACTCAAATAAATTATTTTTGAAAAGCTAGACAATTTCTCAATCAATTTCCCAGTGTTTTGTCTAAATTCGACGCTCAGATAAACTTTTGTACAAAAAATGTTGTGTTCCATCAGTTTCAATCAGCAGATAAGTTTTAATGACGGCACGGTTTTTCTCTTCCGTTTGAACCTAATTTCACCTTCGTACGATCATTTTGAAGGTTTTTGGCTAATAGCCAGTTTCAGTGACCTGAAGTTCAATAGGGATTTTCAGCATACCTTAGCCAGGTTCCGAAACAGGCTCTCAGAGGGCGGTGCTTAGATTGTCGCCATGTGGTAGGGAGCAATCGGAGATAACGAGCATGACTGTATCCTGCAGACACTCTCGGAGTAGGGCTAATTAGGCTCGGGTTCCTAAGTTCCCTTACCCCTCTAAGCTAATCCCCATAACTCAATTCATCTTCGTACAATCGGCATTCACACTGTTGGAACTGTCTTTTGAATTTACCTATTTTCATTTACTGTCGCTCTAAATAAACAGACAAACAATTAGTGCTCGATTGGGAAATCGTAATTGATTGAAGAAAAACTAAAGGATTAGCATTATCTTCGTTTTTCGACCACTTTTCTCACGCTTATCACTTTTCCCTGGCTTCCGGTGATTAAGTCAACGACAAGATGGAATGAACAAAACAACAGAAACATTTCAACAATTTGTGAGTTGATGCAAGCTCGGCAAAGGAGATAAAAACGGCGACAGTAACCTTCTTACTGTTACAATGATAACTCCAATCCTATATATATTGCGCAATCCTGTAGTGCCCCCACGATGGTTCGCCGCCTCAAAGTGGCGTGGGGGTGGCCCTGGGTGTCAGCTACCTGCAGCCAGAGTTTAACCTCTGGCTCCCGGACGCCCAGCAAAGAGCGAACCGGGTCAGCTTCCGCCGTCTGACTAATAGGTCGTTAGGCGGGTCCCCACTCCACATAATGATGGTCAGCGATCGCCTGAATATGGTAGGCCTGAGCAGGCCTAGTAAGCCGACTCAGTGCCGGGGAAAAAAATTTAAAACTCGAGCAGCAAGTAAAGGAATAAAGCCCTGTCATCAGACCCCGACTAAGGCGCCGGAAGGAAACAAGGCTGGTGGCAGGTTGCTCAGGGCGCCATTTGGACTGGACAAAAACGGCACACCTGCGACGACCCGCCATGGAGACTGCTTCATGCTCTGCACTTACAACGCCAGAACAGTCTCCACAGACGCCGACCTTCACGCTCTCCTCCACGCCGCAGGGCACATCAAGTACCATGTCATCGCCCTGCAGGAAACGAAGTCCAGGAAGCAAGACGTGCGACAGTTGAGCAATGGGACCCTCGTCATTCGTGGTGAGAAAGTTCCGTCGCGGAACGTGGGAGGCGTCGGCTTTGTCGTCCACCCAACGATCGTCCATCTCGTCGATTCGCATGAGATCCTGTCTCCCCGACTGGCCATCCTTCGTCTACACCCTCCACACCAGAAGACCATCAGCATCATCAACTGCTATTCTCCAACATCAGCAGCTGATGATTCGGAATTAGATGCTTTTTACGAGCATGTAGAGGAGGTCGTCCGCAACGAGAAGTCCTTCTACAAGTTTGTTGTGGGTGACTTTAACGCGAAAATCGGGATGAAACTAGAAGAGGAGTATAGGATCGGGAAATTTGGATTTGGGCTCCGGAATGATAACGGCAACCGTCTTATTGGGATCCTATCCGCCGCACGCCTGTTTCATGGAAACTCACTTTTCATGAAGAAAGAACAACGGCGATGGACATGGGAGTCACCCAATGGAACGACACATGCGGAGATTGACCACATACTCACCAACCGAAGATGGTGCCTACTTGACGTATCGGTAGTGCCATCTTTCTGCAGTGGTTCTGATCACCGCCTCCTACGAGCGAAGGTACGATTCAGTCAAAAGCTGGAAAGGAAGATTTGCCATCGCAGTCCACGAAGGAAGGAAGTCGTTTACGACGGTCAAAGGTTAGAGGAGCTCTTATCATGTTGTGAGTGGCCCATCGAGGAAGACCCAACAAAGGACTACGAGCTGCTTCTCAAAGGATTGGAAGCCTGTGGGTATTGCGCCTCAACAACTCGTGCAAGAAACTTGGATCGCATCTCAAGCACCACCAAGGAATCGCTCGATAGAAGAAGATCCTTGAGGCTGGATCCGAATGCATCTCACCTCGAGCGGTTGGTGGCAAATACCAGCTGCAGAACGGCATTGCAGGAGGATCTACGAAAGTACAGGCAAAGGAGGATTTTGGAAGCCGCTGAACAAAGACGAAGTCTGAAGAAATGCCGAAGGGACCTTTGCGACTACCACATACCACTGGGAGCGTTATTAAACGAAAATGGGATACCAACAACTTCCCGCCGAGAAATGGGATCGATCGCGAAGAGTTTCTACACCAACCTCTTCCGCTCATCAACACCCGTGCCAGACCCCGCTGTTCCCGCTGGAGACGCACCACTACGAATTCTTCCTGCTGAAGTACGCGTCGCGATCCAGACCATGAAGACGTCCACAGCTCCAGGACCAGACCATCTTTCCGTGGACCTGCTGAGAGCTGGAGGACACTGTCTACACGAGATTCTGGCGGCGCACCTAACATCTTATCTCCAGAAGGAAAGGATTCCCGACCAGTGGAGAACGTCAAGAACCGTTCTTCTCTTCAAGAAGGGCGAACGGGAAGATCTTCGAAACTATCGTCCGATATGCCTGTTGAGCGTGCTGTATAAGCTTTTCACCAAGATCATTCTCACTCGCATCTCAAGGACGCTGGATGAAGCCCAACCTCCAGAACAAGCTGGATTTCGCAAGGGATTCAGTTGCATGGATCACATCCAGACGGTTTCGAGGGTCATAGAAGTTTGCCGGGAGTACCGATTACCTCTCGTCCTAACCTTCGTCGACTACGAGAAGGCATTTGACAGCGTCGAGTTCAACGCTATCCTGTCAGCGCTAGTCGATCAAGGAGTGGATCCGTCATATGTGAGGACATTAGCCAACTGCTACAAGGACTGCACTACAACGCTACAGCTGTTCCATCGCCCCCTGACCGTACCAATAGGGAAGGGGGTCCGACAAGGCGATACCATATCGCCTAAGCTGTTCACGGCGGCCTTGCAGTGGGTGATGAAATCACTGGACTGGAATGAGAGAGGTATACGAGTTGATGGGAGATTCCTCTCGAATCTTCGTTTCGCGGACGACATCGTTCTCTTCTCGAGCAGTATCAATGAAGCCGAGACGATGTTAAAGGAATTGAACGAAGTAGGGAAGACGATTGGACTGCGAATCAATCGGAAGAAGACCCAGTTCATGAAGAACGGCCTAATTGAGAATACGGAATTGAAGCTGGAAGATTCCCCAATCACGGAGACCTCTTCTTACGTGTATCTAGGACGTTCAATGAACATGCAGAACGACTTGAAAGAAGAACTTAACAGAAGGCGAAGAGCAGCTTGGGCCGCTTACGGGCCTTTGAAAGAAGCCACCGACCAACTAACGGACCCTGCGCTCCGAGCTCATCTGTTCGATTCAACCGTTCTCCCAGCGCTCTGCTACGCAGCCGAGACGTGGGCTGACACTGCTGCCACGTCGAAAGCTCTTCGTACCACCCACAGAGCGATGGAGCGGAGTCTTCTGAAGCTTAACCGACGTACGCAACATCTTGCCGGACTTCGCAGTTCTGATTTAAGAAGTATGTCCCGTTTACGAGACGCAGTCGAGTATGTTTCGAAGGTAAAGTACCGATGGGCCGGTCACATTGCAAGAAGAACAGACGACAGATGGACGTCACGAACGCTGGAATGGATCCCTCGCGATGTAAAACGCCCTCGAGGAAGACCCCCCACCAGGTGGGCAGATGTGTTCGTGGAAAGGATGGACCAGCTGAAAAACCAGCTGGAAGCGAATTTTACACCTAGATCTCGTGATCTTCGCCACCAACGACCGATACGAAAATCGTGGTTGACGCTTGCGAGGGATAGGAACGGATGGAAGCTGTGCTGCGGCCCGCACGACACGTGAGGACGGGCCAACTAAGTAACTAAGTAACTAAGTAAGTAAGTAATCCTGTAGTGTGTATGTTTGTTTGTGTGCTTCAGGGTGTACGTATGTTCCGAACAAAAAAAATCACATTGGATCAGACTTTGCACTACATCTCGGAGCGTTGCTGGTGTCGTAGGCTAATTTGCGTTTTTGATCAATATCGGTTTTATCGTCTTTTTGCAGATGAGCTGCCTGGCAGGGAGTCGGCATAGGGGAGGAGGGCAGCCGGAGTAAATGAGACGCTGAATGCAAAATCGCAAATCTTCAGAATCCTCAACTGCATCTATATTTATCGATTTTTTTTTGCAAACTGTGAGATAAGGCGCTAAGAACTTGCACAGAAAGTTAGCGTTCATGCTGACATAGGTGGAGTGAGTGAGCATTGCGATCACGAAAAAAGGTATAGACAGGACGCTGACATATACAACTAGGACAAAGACAAGAAATACTGCGTCGAAGTGAGACGGAAGATACTACTACTACGTTTTGCCAGCAGAACCGGCGGGTCCGAGTATGACAGCCATTGACTGTGATCTATTTATTGAACAATCCATAGCAAACTCCAAAATCTATATAATCATAGCAAGCAGTGACATTTGTACCGAAAGTTAACCAAAAACTAAAACTACAATTGAAAACTTTGATGCTGACGTGAAAGTAACAAAAATGCAATTTAAAAAAGTGCGTAATTACCGTATGCCTCCGCTTGTTAGAATGCTATTAGACCTGTCACGCAGATCGATCAGTTCCTTACTTCTAGCTTTGTTATAATTGCTTGGATATCATTCCCCGTATATCCGCGACCTCAATTGCAATCTCTTCGCCGAAACGTGATTCTCTAACTGGCACTAAGCCTGACTCCGCTGACGAAGTGACAGACCTTAGCTGTACTGGAACATTGGCGACGGTAACTTCTGAAACGCCTAGCGCAGCAGGCATCCGTTTCTTTAGATCCTCCATTAGAGCACTTGCTTTGCTTTGCAAGTCGGGGTCTTTCCTGTGGTGTCTGTTTGTAACATGAGCTACATTAGCAGTATCCTTCAACCTTTCACTCTCTTTATCAAACTTGTGAGTAAGATCGTTATTATTTTTCGTCAAACTCGTATTTTCTGGCGTGTTACTAGACGAACCACTTTGGCAAGTGTTTTCCTTAGCACAAACCAACAAAATCCATTGTCCGTCATTTTGTAAGGAGGATGGCCCTTCGTTCAACTGTCCGTTTGCAGATATTGTTTGATGTGAAGGTTCTGAAAGAGCGAGTGAGTGATCAAACACAACAACTTGCTAGTCGGAAACTCAATATTACCTTGGGCACTCGATGCTTCTTGTACCAGGTCATTTCCATATAAGTGTGAGTTTTCCATTTCCGATGTTCTCAAGTGATCTCTAATAACTTTTGTGTTGATTTGATCCGCCGAAGAGGCAGTCAGAATCGGTGTCTCAAATCGACTCAGATCTTCATGAGCGTAATTTGGTACATCACTGCTGCTGTTTCCATTGCCAACTCTTACAGCTTCATTGGGCAAGGCACCTCTGAGGTTTTCTTCTATGATGAATCCACTCGCTGGCGTACTAGTCGCTGCTCGACGAATAATGTTTTCGTGCGAAGATGTGCGTGAAATGCTGCTGTTGCTTCCATCTGCGCTACTCCTAGGATAATTTTCGATTCTGTGAGGATTTAGCGAGCGCGAGCGTGGTGGTGGCGAAGGAGGACGCGCTGGCAAAACTGAATCAAAAACTGCCCTCGAACCGCGACTCGTATCACAACCCTGAACCTCTTCTGCAGTGGCTACATTACGCATTACAGAGTGGCGCATCGTCGTACTCGCAGGTCTACTGCTATTTCTTTTGAGCAAGGGCGGCTTCCCTTTTGCATGCTCACTATATATCCTTTTTAATACATTCATCAATGCCGGTGCTTCTCTGTTGATAACCTGCACCTGGAGATCAATGTTCTGTAGCGCCGAAACGATTTGATTCTCTTCACCTATAGGAGTACGTATGTTGAAAGTCTTCGGCCACGTAGATCGCGCTGTTGATATCTTTGGGGTAACTGCTATGGCTTGGTACATGGATATGAACAAATTGGTCAGATTAGTTGCAGTTTCAGTGGGAATAATGGTTGTGCTGGTTGCCCAACGGCCGATGTTGCGTCTTTCTTCGACCTGGAAAAATTAGATCACTGGCAATGTAGTTGTGCATACATTTGGGAGCTCACCTGGCTAGTCAATATATTCTGAGTAGAGTAGGATAAATTAGCCTGATTGACTTGTTCTGAAAAAATTAACAAATTTCAACTTTACTAATGCATTCCGATCGAATCAAACCTGAAAGAGCGGCTATTGCCGGATCTCCAAGCAAAGGTTGCTGAATCTGCAAATGTGTTTTCTCTTGAAATAAAATAATGTACTTTGATAACGAAAAAATGAAATACCATTATCCCCAATGGTGTGAAAAAAGCAATCGGATACATTGGTGATATGTAGGAATTTCTAGTTGTGTCTGCTTCATAGGATGGAGGAGGATCCGCTGGTGTTGGAGAAATTGTTGATCCGGTTTGTACGGCGGCTGGCTCAGGTGTCAGAGGAGGAGGACTCGATCGACGCGTTCCTTCCACTTCTCTTGTAGAGTCTGACTGAGGAGCTGCGGCACCAATCCGCTCATCTAAATTTTTTTATTTGAGCGGCAAGCCCAGCCTTGCGTCCGAGCATGTGACAGTTGTCCACAGTTTCGCACTAGAATCTTCTCTCCATTTGATCACGCTCAAAGTGTTTTATATCAACACATCGAAAAGTGCTTCATACAAAAAAATAGAAGCAAAATCAATCATACCAACTCAATTCTAGGCTTTGATCAAATCATACTGAGAAAGGAATAGCCTTGTGCGGGCATTGTAATCTATGTGAAGATATCAAGCTATACGATAAATGTAGATCAAAACTGAGTAACGCTACGAAAGCGTAGATGCTCAACACCGCGTGCCCTCTACTATGCTATGGAGAGCTGAGACTAAGGTTTCGTTCTAACGCTACGCTAACAACATTTGTGCAGCTATAGGTACGCAGAGCGACTAATATCGTGTACTAACAAGGAAACCGTGTCAAGTCAAAATGGCCTTTTCAGATAAGACCCATACTGCTTTGAAGAGCATTAATCGTTGATTCCAAATCGGCTTTCCAAATCTGCCAAGCGCCTCTGGACGCCGAGTTATGCTCGTTTTTCAAGTCAAAAAATTGAACGCAAAACTGAAGCAAAATCGCCCAAATTTGCTCAAATGGTCCAGTGTCAAGTAGCTGTTTATGCAATGGATACATTTTATTTAATATGATAATACTTAACATTGCCTTGTCTGAGCGCTGGAAGGATTGTAACAATCGATTTTACCTAAATTGCATTCATTTTTCGTTCCGAAGAACGGCCATAACTCGGCGTCCAGAGGCGCTTGGCATATTTGGAATCACCGCTCAATACTCTTCAAAGCAGTATGGATCTTATCTAGAAAGGCCACTTCGACTCGACACTGTTCCCTTGTAAGTTTTCATGGCCTCAGTTTCGCTCTAACATTACTTGAAGTATAAAAGGTGTGTGTATAGGTACGGCTCACTTCTATGACAATGCATCATCGGTATCGAACACGCTACGTACCTTGAGGAAATGAGAGTACAACTTCTTCCAGCTTTAATGGTCCATCGATATGCAGTTCAGTGATACTCTCTGGTTCTACGCGATGTATAAACTCCAAAAGGAGTATTTTGTTGATATTTATCTGAAAACTTTGGTTTACAGAGAATGAACAGCTAAAACATCGTTTCGAAATAACCTCTATGGTAAACTTAGTAAATTTCAGCTCAAGGTTGAACTTTTTATCGCGCGGCAAAGAGGCACGTTTCTCAAGTTCACTAGTGGAATTGCCGTCAATTCGAGCTGAAGCGGTGACCTAAATATTAGGCATAAAGACTCATCGAAAGACTGTGCGACTGTTTACCTTCCCCTCCTTGCCTATGGGTACCGTGAGGATCAAAGCAGTGTCATCAAATGCGATGAGACGCACGGCGATATGTCTATAATAAATTCCTCTGATAAGTGCAAGTAAACATCCATATGCGGATGAGTTATTGATTACAATTAAGGAAAGTCATACATACAAAAATGCATTGAAAGATAAGTGCCTACTAAAGGTGGACAAAAGGGGATCCATCCTTCCGCCTAGGTAATGCGAAAGTTTCAGAATAGCCTACGTGTGTTATTTCGAAAAATAAAATTATCGTTGCTTGGCTACGGACATGGCTACGGACATGGCTCATACTTCGGCAAGCATTCCAAAATAGTTGAAGGAGTGGCAAAGCCATAAATGTTTGTCGTCTCCCTCACTCTGCACGAAATTCTTTCGAACAGGCACTGAAACCAACTATTTTGGAGTTGGGCATGAAACAGACGGAAGTGGATGTTTGACTCACAAGATTAGGATCTTAGCAAGCGAAATGTCCAAAAAATTGACATGAGCGGTCCTCGAAAATTCAAGAATCCAAACCATATGAAGTGATGACATTTTGAGAATCGATACGTATATGATTCGGAGACATATGTGTAACAAAGGCTATCACTTTCGATGAATAGTGTAGCCTTGTTTCCTCGTATGCGATTTCAAAGTTCCTCTCAAATATTAGCCCTCGATTTTTTACAAATTTTAGGTGGTCCGGAAATTAATGTCCGTTTTGAATTTCAACTGCACTAAGTCATACATTTTTCATTCCTGAATAGGCTTCAAGATACCATTCGATAGAGCAAAGCAAGCTCTACAAGATGGCCATCTTGCTTTAGCAACAGCTCTGATCCAGTTTCGAAACTCGAGGTGGATCAGAGCTGTTGCTAAAGCAAGATGGCCATCTTGTAGAGCTTGCTTTGCTCTATCGAATGGTATCTTGAAGCCTATTCAGGAAGGAAAAATATATGACTTATTGCGGTTGAAATTCAAAACGGACATTGATTTCTGGACTACCTAATATATTGAGTTTCAATTAAAAAGAACTGGATAATTCCCAAAGGTATACATACGAATTCACATCTGGCAAACAAAAGGAATCAAAAAGGCTTTATAGAAATATACATTATAAGACGCATTTTCATCTTACATCTCCCCTCTATTCTCTTCAAAACCTATAAAATCTAAATTGACCTACTCATCGTACACCACATTGACAATAATATTCAACTATAATATATTCAACTGCTGCATACTTAGTTTTCACATGGAAAAAGTGCAGATAGGCAAAGCCAAAAGAATCTTAGGATATTCTTCAAAATTCAGCGCTAAAGATCGAGAAGAAGCCGTACGATCGTGGAAAATATTGATGAATCTAATTTCAAATCATCCTTAACTCAGCTCAAAGGTTTGTAACAGCTAAGAATTGAAAAAATGAAGTGTAACCGCATACCTCTTCCATATCTTCAGTGTTTTTGCTATAATCTCGATTGATGATCCAGGAGGGCAACCCTTATTCAGAGTTTTTGTGAAGGAAACAGCGTTTCCATGTCTCTGCATGCAGTCATTCAGAGTTTATTACGTGAAGCGACTTGCTTTTCAACTGATGACATTACTTACCAAAACCGAAAAATTTCGCTCTGCTGCAGGCATGTTTAAGTGGTCGTGTGTGTAATGGCGCTTAGATAAGGACAGGACTTTTTGCGACGATGTCAATGAAGTGCTCCCTATGGCATCATAATAGCAGAATTCGAACACGTTTGGATCCTGACGTACCAGTGGGACTAAGAGTGGATAAATTTAGTGGAATATATGTAAAGAAATCATGGAGCTACACCAGCTTCTAAATGGTGTGTTAACCTCCGCGCATCCAAAATCGTACTTTATTCAAACATTAACTCAAGCGTAGCTGCTGTTAGAGATAACAGCAGCTGCACAACATATGATCGTAGGGGTTATTGAACCCATTATGATGTACACCATATAGCATATTGAACAAGTTGATTCTCGAATGTCCATAATGCAGTTGCCAAAAGTCTTGGAAATATCTCAAACATTATGGATCAAGTAATTAGCACAAAACAACGAAGCCATATCATTGTTGACAGCAGGAGAAGGAAAAATTAAAAAGTTTCATCAGCTGATAACGCTTACAAAACTGACTGAAAGGCAGAAAAATTATCCATAAACAAAGAAAATAAGTGTGGAGTCAGGGCTCAGCACGAGGTGGCATATGAGGAATTCAAAAAAGAAGTTCTATTTGACATTGCAGTAATATACGAGACACCTTTTATAATGTTTGTAGAAGCTCTTCTAATAACCTCTAATAATGAAAGAAAAAAGCCAAGAGCAACTCAAAGATTGAAAAGAGAAATGCGAAGCACGGCTGTAATTATATCATCGAGAGCCGTAACAAAGCAAAGGGGACCGAATTCGGATTGAGATGAGTACTCATAGGTAGGTGGGTGAACGAAGGCCGCCAGTTTGAGCCGCCTTTCGCGGCCAACTGATCCTTTTGCAATGTTGTTGTATGTCGTTTCAGGACCAGTAGTCCGCGGAGGCACCCCAAACTGGCGGCTTTCGTTCCACAACCCCTCATAGGTAGATTTCAATCTAAAGAATAGATTTATGTAATAAAAATTTGAAAAATTGTGTAAGGAAGGGGAGAATTGCGAAGATTCATGGGTTTTTCTGGTCCCGCGCAACCTCAAGGTGCTCCCAAGTTGCGCGGGAGCAACCTAAAATCGAGAAATACAACTCCTCTCGTTCACATAATTTTCTCATAAATTTTCATACTTTTCTTTTGGCCTCGCCGCGGATAACCAAATTTAGTTTCTCTATAGTTATTCTCGTTATAAACAAACCAATTGTTTATATTTTTGTCCGTAAAGATTCTGTTTTGACATGTTGAAATCGTGTGCACACAGGTTTATGCACTACTCGTGTTTATAACGTATTAATCTACCTGCAGCTGTTAAAGTTACGGGCTGCTGGTAATTAGAGTTTTGCTTTCTAATATTTCCTCAGGTTTCCGAGTGGAAACTTCACTGGTTTGCTTTCCCCTCAAAAAACGAGATTCAGCATGTGAAAGCGCCACCTCTGCAGAGCCCTGGTAGATGTGGCATGGACATCGCAAATTACAAACGAAAAAAATAAGTTGCTACGAATAAAACCTTCTGTGATTGATACCTAATCAGGACAATGTCAAGAAGGCTTTGACAAATTTGCTGGCAAACGATGTAGACTCGTCTTGCCATAAATTTTGGTCAAAAAGTGGTGCAATTCGCCAACAACGAAATGGTAGTTGCTCGGCCTGTTACGGTAAGATTATGGTAAGCAGAGATTGAAACAGTGCACTGCAGTTTTTACCTCAGATCCCTATCTTCAACAGTTTATTTGTACAAGACACTGTTGTAAAAGTCGACACATTTAAGTCGACTATCTTGAGTTCCAACTTGATACGATCGGTAGAGCACGGCAGCTCTAAAATAGCATGTTTTTGATTATTAAGAGAAGAAATTGAACATTTGTTCAAAATAATTGATGCAGTGCTTCGCATACAAGATCAACCTCCAAGAGGATATCTAAAAGGTTGAAGATCTTACCTAAAGGCCGGCAAAGTCCCATCGTCACCTCCCCGCGGTGCCGGCTGGCAACGGGGAACAACCCCGGCAAACGACGAGGGCACTGTCCCGTCAGGCGGAGCGACCGCCGGGGACTGTACGAATCAGTCGTGTCACATGCATCGGACTAATAAGGATTTTTTCAAGCTGCTAGGGCGTCCCCCGGAGGCGACGCGCGTCATTGCCCGCATGGCGCGAATAGTGAGCTAGGGCTGCCTGCCCCCGGACGAGGCAGGCCAAAGAAGCGAATCCAGGAAATCCGACTAGCGACGATCAATATAGTAACGCTGACGAGCCGCAGTCGGGAGCTATGCGATAGGCTGAAGGAGCGACACGCCGACATCGCATGTGTACAGGAAACGAAATGGAAAGGGAGGTAGGCTAAGGACATCGGCGACGGATATCGCTTATACTACACGGGAGATAGCAGCCGCCAGAACGGAGTCGCGATCATCGTCAGCGGTAGATACCGCGAATTAGTGACCGAAGTGACGCGCATTTCAGATAGATTGATGGCGATGAAGATCGAAGCAGATGATGCCACGCTTCGAATAGTCTCGTGTTATGCCCCGCAATCCGCATGTACTGAAGCCGAGAAGGACGTGTTTTGGAGGGATTTCGACATCCTGCTAAGGACATTTGACGCCGCAGACTACATCTTCGTAGGAGGCGATCTTAATGGGCACGTTGGCCACGAGCACTATGGATTCAAGCGATACCATGGTGGAAACGGATACGGTCAGAGGAATGAAGATGGAGAACGCATCCTGGAAGCAGCAGAAGCACACGACTTGGCGATAGCGAATACATTTTTCAAGAAGCGGGAGTCACATTTGATCACGTACGCGAGTGGAGACCGCTCAACTCAGATCGACTACTGGATGCTGCGCCGATGCCATTTGCCGATGGTGATGAACGCGAAGGTTATACCCACGGCGACACATGCATTTGCGCCACAACACAGGTTGCTCGTATTGGATCTTCGACTAAACATCCACTTACGCTCACGAGCCAGAAGGACGACCACAAAGAGTATCAAATGGTGGAAGCTTCCCGAACATCGCCAGCAAGTCAGAGATGCTCTTAACGATTTGAGGGTGTCGACGGATGATAAGGAGTCGATTGAAGAGCAATGGAATCGGATTACTTCGCAGATACGATCGAGGGCCGAGACAATCTCGGGAACCACCAAGCCAGGACGCCGGTTTGTAGACAAGCAGATCTGGTGGTGGTCTGAGTCAGTCCAGCAAGTGATCAAGGAGAAGAAAGAAGCTTTCAAAGCCTGGCAACGCTCACACTCAAATGAGGACCTCCGTCGACATCGAGAACAGAACTCGAAGGCGAAGCACGCGGTAGCCGAAGCAAAAGAAGCACACTACAAGAGACTTTACGACGAGCTGGAAGGGCCTGCTGGAGCTAACAAGGTCTACCGACTGGCCGCTGCACAACATCGAGCGAAGCAGGACATCGACCACGTCATGCACATTAAGGACGCAGAGGGCAACCTCCTGACGAAGCCGAGGGCAATACTCAAGCGGTGGAGTGAATACTACAAAGGGCTATTTAATGAGGAGTTCCCGCACCCGTTAGTACCGCAAGGAGCCCCCACATTTGGACCGGTAGCTCGGATCGAGGAGGCAGAAGTTGTGCAGAAACTGAGGAAGATGTCTAGCGGAAAAGCTCCGGGACCCGACGACATACCTGCTGAAGTGTGGAAGATGATGGGGCAGCGTGGAGCGTATCTCACATCGCTCTTTAACCGCATTATCGTAGACGGACAGTTGCCGCGAATCTGGACTACGAGTGTTACAGTCCCTATCTGGAAAGAAAAGGGCGACGTCAGCGACTGTTCAACATATCGACCAATACGCTTGCTATGCCACACGATGAAGATCTTCGAACGAGTCATCGACGCACGCATTCGAAGTATAGTGGAGGTCACCCCGAATCAATGCGGCTTTGTAAAAGGATCTGGCACCATCAACGCCATCCACGCGGTACGATTGCTAATGGAAAGGCATTTGAAGAAACGGATTCCGATTCATTTCGCATTCCTGGATTTAGAAAAGGCATTTGATCGGATACCTCACGGGCTGATCTGGTATGCGCTGAGACAACACGACGTCCCAGAAGAGTACGTTCGCTGGATCAAACTCCTCTATACGAACCAACGGGCGCCATACGCTGTGCAGTGGGAACGTCAAGCCATTCCCAATCCAAGTCGGAGTACACCAAGGATCGGCTCTATCACCGCTTCTCTTTATACTGTGCATGGACACGGTGACCAAGGATATCCAGCTGCCCCATCGTGGACGCTCCTTTACGCAGACGACGTCGAGCTAGCAAGCGGATCGAGACAAGAGCTTAAAGAGGCGACTGTGAGATGGAAGACACGATTAGCGGAATATGGCCTACGACTGAACGTAGCAAAGACCGAGTACTTGGAATGCGGAGAGCAAACCGATGGCACAATTAGCATCGATGGGCAGCCGCTGAAGAAGGTCACGATATTCAAATACCCGGGCTCCCGAGTGACGTCGGATTGCGACACGATCACTGATGCTCGTGCTAGGACGAACGGGCATGGCTAAAATGGCGGCAAGTAACAGGAGTACTCTGCGACCGACGAATTCCGTTGTATCTCAAGTCGAAAGTGTACCGGACTGTGGTGAGGCCAGTCGCACTGTATGGAGCCGAATGTTGGCCAGCAACCAGAAAACACGAGCAGATCCTGGGCACGATGGAGACGCGAATGATAAGATGGATACTTGGCCTAACGAGAAGAAACTGCGTCATGAACGATGATGTACGACACATTTTCGGAGTTGCACCTATCGCGGATAAGATGCGAGGGGCCAGATTACGATGGTATGGTCACGTTTTACGAAGTGAAGATAATACAGTAGCGAAAACAGCACTTCGTCTAGATCCACAGGGGAAGAGATCACGTGGCCGTCCGAAGCAACGCTGGTTGGACACCATTCGAAACGACCTGCACATTGCAAAGCTCAAACCACAAGAAGCAGCTGATCGAGTCAAATGGAAGCAAAAATGCACCACCGCCGACCCTGCACCCGCGGGACAATGGCGAAGATAAAGAAGAAGAATACGAAGAAGATCTCACCTAAACTTTTCAAAGTAGTAGA